TCAGGAATTCCGTGGACGGGTAGGTATATTAAAGTATATGTAAAAAAAAAAAAACTACTAAACGTGTGCGCTCTACGTGCATACGCACCACTATTGCCTAGTCAGCAGCAGCAGCAGCAATACACGGACGACCACGGGAACTCGGTTGTGGCGGTGGGAGTACGCGCGCTCGGATACTCGGAACACACCGTACACACGCACGAGACGCCAGTCGGACAGACTTGTTGAACCCAAACTGGTTGTCGCGGTGACCGGCTAAAACCTAGAGGCACGCTGGAGCCGCTTATATATTATTATTATAAAATAAAACGACAAACCGTCGTCGGAGGGCGGCGCAGATAGGCGAACGAGACGGGGCGAGGAGGCGCACGCAAGCGGTTCAACACACAAAGAACGGACCGACCGGCCGTTCGCCGCGCTCTCGTACGTGGTGTCGGCCCAGAGACTGCATCGTGATCTCTCCGCTATAGCGTACGAGCAGGCAACAGAGCTAGGAGGCATAACACGCGTTATATTATAGGTACACGGACGGGTGTTCGAAATAACATTATTACCGTGTGTGCGTGTGCAACGGTTTTTTCCCCTGCCCCCAAAAACCTTGAAGGCCCAACGCCGCTGCCGCCGCACATCCTGGGAACCAATGGGCCGCCCTTCTGCCGACAAGCGACAGGTGTGGATTCTCCGGGCGGGGGTGGCTGCAATGGATGTATATCCTTCTGGCTTCTTCGAGTAGTAGGTACTAATGTACAAATGCGGTATTAATGCGTTTACGACTATGGTGGCCCTTTACCAATTGTGTCGGTTAGACCTTAATCCAAGACATTGAATAATAATAAAAGAAAAACCGACCAATTGACACAGTCAGTTATAGTATCGCAATAATTGTGATCCAGAGGCATAATTATCAAGAGAATAATGAAGTAGAAACATATATTCCCCGGACCCAGATTGTTTTTTTTTTATAAAAATATATGTACAATAACAGTGCCGTGTACATGGGACAGTGGCGTATTTACAGGGGGTGATCAGGGTGATATATAACCCCCAGAGCATTTAATTTTATAAAAATATTATTGATAATCTATTTATTAAATAAAAAAACTATTCTTTTAAACGTAGAAATATTGTACGACATATCACAAAGCCAACAAATATAGAAAAAAAATGTCTTACTCATAGACAATACACCGTGGTCGGTGGTGGTGATGTAGAAGGCAAGGTTGAGTATTTTAAGTATTTAGGATCTTTTGTACAAAAAAAAACCGTGGCTTTGATGAGGATGTGAAACACAGGATTTAGCTTAGGCGTACGCACTGGGCTGCACCTGCAATTTTTCAAAAGGCTGATTTACAAGGGCACATCCAATATATTTTGTTTGTCGCTAATAAATTAGAACAGTACAAAATTGTTTTTGTTCATCCATTTATATTAAATATTGAGTGGTGAAAAAAAAATTGTAATTGGTTATTGTACCTATAGGTACTATCGCAATTAATAACAATTATTACAATACGATTGGTACTGTAACTGCTATTTTAAGAGGATTGCACGCCGTCTAGTTTTGAGGAGTTTTGTACAGGCAATATTTAAAAAAAAAAGAGATTTTAATAAATTTTGACTATGTTAATTAATTTTCTGGTTAAGTTGTATAAGCTTTAAGGTATTATTTTAATTTAAATAATTGTTTTTATGAAGAAAAGCCATTTTCGTTTATTTTAGATCAAAAAGCCAGACAAAATTTCGACTATATAGGAAGGTCAAATTTTAGTTCTGTAAAGAGTATAGAGTTCTTTGGCTAATTTACTATGTTATGTTAGAAGCCGATTTTCATTTAAATATTTCGGTTTCTTGTAATTAAATAATCAGAATTGTGAATTCTTAGGTGAGTAAGTGGAGGGGTAGCATAAGAGTGGCTTCGGTAGCGGACAAAATAAGAGAAAATAGACTGAAATGGTTTGGGCCTGTTATTATAAGGAGAGGAAACCGTTAGAATGGTAATGAAAATAAACGTAAGAAGAAAGAGGGGAAGAGGAAGACCGAAAAAAGATATGGCTGGGTACAATTGTGAATGATATGAATACTGCTGGTGTATGCAAAGATGATGTGGAAGATCGTGATTCGTGTGTCGAGTGAAGGTTTAGGACTAGGGTGGCCGAACCCATGAATTTGAGATGAAGACGAATAAGAAGATAATACGACGGTCGAAGATTTTATATTTTAATATAATATAATCAAACACATTTTTAAAAAAGAAAAACTTCAAAACTGTAATTATTTTAAGAGTGCCTTACGTTATATAAATCACACTGTATATTTTGAATGATTATAGTTTTTCTAACAACTAATTCAAAAATAGTTTTTTAATCCTATAGAGAATGTAGTAAGCTTTTCATAAAAAAAACGACTTCTAATATCTTTCCTCATAACTTACAGAAAAATACATTTAAAAATAACGTAACACACAAAAATGAGAGGATTCCTCTTAGATCCATTTATTTGGCTACCCTATGGTTTGTTTTACTTTAAACCCGTAAGGTTATTAATTTAATGCATTTTTTTGTCTAAATATATAACAACACTAAAATATATAAATACATATTTTAACAATTACATTTCTGCCTATCTTCAGACTTAAAATAACAACCTACAGAGCAAAATTACTTACTTGAAGGTCGACAATACATTTTGTTAGATTTCGGACAGTGCCCAATGTAATTCGGTAAAAACATATCAATAGAGTGTATAAGACATTTTATAACTAAAAAGTAAAATAAAGACGCAATATTGAATTTTAAACGAAATGTACCTACATAAAACAAACAATATTAACTAACCAGTGATCACGAATATTTAAATAAGACATAAATAATTTTATGACAACGCATTAGTTTTTCCACGAATTTGTACTTTTTCAATTTATTTTGAACCTTATAGTCAATTAACTTTCTACGCGAGCTTAATCACAATAGTAACCGATGGCTATGGCTTTTATCAAATTGACCCGTTTTACTTAATTTTCGACTTGTGAGTATTATTAAACATTATGTTCAAGTAATCCATTTTATTCTGTCAAATTAAAACAACATAATAGGTATACTGAATAGTCAATTATTGTTATCAACATTTTTATAATTTAACATTTATGGAGTCAGGAGTAATATATTAAATTAATGCTACATCTCATTATAGACCACGATCGATCATTTTTAAAAAAACTAAAAACTAATTGTATAAAGGATTTAGTAATTTTTTTTTTAATGTTGTTAAACGTCAACGGCGTTAGGTCATTAGCAGATTACATTTACTGTGAATGTTACTTACAAAAAAGAAAAAATGTATTTTATTTATATTAAACAAATAATCTGATATACAAAATAATTTCTTTTATGAATTGGATCATTTTTTACTGACTCCCAGATTTTTTGGATAGAGTAGAAAAAACAACGTCGCCTGTTTTGGATTTTTATATAGCTATAGTTATACAGTGAAGAAAACCCTAAGCTAACTATTATTTAGCCTAACCATAATTTCCTAAATTATAATGTGTCAGAATTGAAAATAAAAAATTTGATAAATGTAGCATTTTTTATCTTTGACATCTAAAATATAAACCATGAAATTTGTATAATTTCTGATCAATATAAGAATCTAATTATTCAATATTTAATTTAGTGGTTTGCTTCATAAGTGTATGTATTGTATATTATAAAACAAAAACTCAACACATTTTTAAATTTTTTCTCAACTGTGTATAAAAAAGCAAACTGGATTATCATTTTTTTAATTAGTAATATTTAAATAATTTTAACAATTGCTAACTGAAATTTTACAACATTATACTCAGTAGCTCTTTATTGCCCAATGTTACAAAGTTGCATTAGTTTTTCAAAACATAAAAATATGTAATAATATAAGGTGACCAATTTTGCTGACAATACTTAAAATTAAAAAAATACTTTATGTATGATCATGTGATTAAATAAAATTAATATTACACAGCCGGTAAGCATCACAAATTTGTACAATATTGTAAAATTATACTATATATATTTTAGACTGGGCCAAAAAAACCAAATATTGATAGTTGTGGTAGTTACAAAATTCTAAATTCAAAAACAAATTGAAAAAACAGTTAAATGTTCAAGGCACGATTTCCATGGAAACGGCTTGTTTGACGAAAATTTACAAAGATAGCTTTTTTGTAGGGAATTCAATTTCCTTCAAGAATATGTATCAATAGAACTTTTCAGACCAATAATTTACGAGTTTTGAATAAAATATGCCAATTGTGTAAAAAAAAAGTCAGTCGTCATGATATGTATCTTATTGTTAATATTAAGGGCTCTAACTTTCACCATAATTTTTTTTTATCATCATGAACAATATTTTCATAGTACCGTTCAAAACAAAATTGTCCGTTTTATTTTGGCCAAGTCTAATATATATATATAGGTATAGTATAATTTTACAATATTGTACAATTTTGTGATGCTTGCCTCTTTTAATATTATTTACAGAGTGTATCTACTTATATATATATATATATATATTAAAAAGTAATTTTCATAAAGAAAAATTCCAACAGTTTCCAGAAAAAAAGTGTTTAACGTTAAATTAATTAACCCAACATAATATTGTATAGTAGACATATGAAGGGCACAAGGGAAGAAGGGTAGTAGTCCATGTATGAAAATTTTAGAGTATAGCAAAAACAAAGTTCGTGAATTCCTCTCACTCTTACATAAGAACAACAAAAATCACATTAAGTGCTATTCTACTAAAAAATGTATTTATTTAAAAAAACTATTGACATAATTAAAAAAAATTAATGGAATATATTAAAAAAAACTATTTGAAACATTTTTTTTTCATAAGTTGACTACTAACCTTTTTCCCCTGTGCCCTTTATACGTTAGATATAGTAAACAAATTCACAGCTTTAGGCATTAAATAGGAAAAGTAATTAAAATTGTAAAAAAAAAAATGAATCATTTTTATTAAAAATAACAAATATAATAATTTAGAGCTGTATTAATTGACTAAAAACTAAAAAGGTATATGATCATTGAATACTGTTTTCATTTGATTGTATGATCCTCGAATGCAATTTTTCTCAATACATTTAATTACCAGAATATAAACACAGGTAAGTATAAAAATACATAAAAATATAGCCATAACAACTGATACAAATATAATGTTGGTTTCTCCGAATGGCAAAAACCATAAAATACAAATAGCAAACAACAAACTAAAAAGTGATACTGTGAAAAACGTATAAGAAAATATTTGCTCATTGACTAAATGATCATTGAATTTGTTTTGGCTATGCTGAATAACATTTAAAAGTTCATGTCTTGATTTTAATTCTGAAAATGTATTAATATTATGCACAAAGGAAAACATTTATTCTATATACTATTTTTAATTAACACTCTCAACTTATGTACTTCATCTCGCGTCAAAATACTGACACGAAATGGAGCAACCACGAGGTGAGACAATATGAAAGCAGTTGAATTCACTTTCATGCTTGCGTTGCCTCACACGGTCTCGTCAAGATCTGTAGAATTAGCATAATATTATTATTTGTTGTTACCTTTATCGTTATTATCACTTTCACCATCCAATTCCAATATCTTTGAAGTTATTTCAAAAACTGCTTCAATTGGTTCATGATCAGAATAACTAAAATCATTATCAGGGACTCGTGATGGTAATGAATATCTGTGCTCTCGTACATGAACCTAAATTTTTTAAATATTAATTATGGAGTATAAAATATAATATAACATAAATTAATTTAAAATTTATAAATTATAATCAACTATAAAAAATGCCAACATAGCTTGAAAGAAAAAACTAAAAATATCTGCCTTAACAAATAGAAAAATTAATAAAATGCACTAAAATAGAAATCGAGAAAAATGTCCTAAAAACGTACATATATTTAAACTAAAAAATATGCCAAGCCGTAACTTAAAAAAAAAATGTATAGTTGTATTAGATCCAAAGTTGTTTGGATATTTCTTAGATTTATAGTGAATTTATTTTTTTCAGATTTAATACCTGTATGACTCACTATGGCCTACTTCACTATTAGTATATACAATTTAAAAAAATAGTAAAATGTTTTATTTTATGAAGTTTCCAATACTAAAATTCTATAAAATCAATGAACATGATGTATTACTTTTCCTTTAATCTACATTTGAAGTTTGGATATTTTTAGTGTAGCTAAACAATATTTTCACAACACTAAAAAATATTTGGTGTTGTAAGTACGCTTAATTCTAAGTACACCCATATATATATATATATATTTTTGGGTATTACATAATATAATTTATATGGATTTTAATAATCAGACTTTGGTTGTAGTAGTTAGTACGTTCATTCTTAAGGCAATATTTTACTTACCAATTTATTTTTACTTGATTTATATAGTATAAAGTCTAAACGACTTTTTGGCTCTTTAGAGTTCTTGTACGAGTTTCGAGGATGATTAAAAGTATACTCTATTTCATTTGTCATACACTAAAACATTTCAATAACAATAAATTTAATAATTTTACCATAGTATCTTGATATACATAAATTATAACTATAAGTAAGATTGTCGATTAACACAATTTGAGAAAGTCATGTTGATATATTTATACACAGCTTGTACTGATTAACATTATTCTACATTTAGATATAAATAAGATCCAAAAATTAAGTTATTAATTTTAATATTTCTAGGTCTTATACTTAACGAAAATATTGCTAAGGACCAATACAATAGTGTCATATTTATTGAACAAATTTAATTCATGTTCTCAATTTTATTATATTATGATTGCTAAATAGTCTCCCCCGAGAAACAGTATAAAGTGCCTCTTTAAAAGTATACTGCAAGTATACAGCTAATTACATAATATAAAATTTTAAATTACTTTACCGTTGAATAACAATCCTTTATATTTGCACCTAACTGGATTAATTTGTAACAAATATCACCCGGTTCACAGTTCAAATCTCCTGCTAATATTGATAAATCTGCACCCACTGATGTAATTCGTACAAAATTTGCCACTTCAAATGCTTGAACAATTCTATGTCTTTCATATTTATCATTAGAAGGATCATAACAAGCATGTAACTGAAATATATATATGAATAATAAATAGTATAACAGTTCATCAACACTTTAGCTGACATGGGTCCCAGTTCGATTATTTGTAAACCACATAAACTGGAACAGCCAACACATAGCAGTTAAGGTGTAAAAATTAATATTGAAATTTACTTTAAAAAATGTATTAAAATATTAAATTATTACAAGAGTTCAAAGATGAATATATTTTTTGTAAAATACTCACATGAGTAGTAAACACATCAACAATAAGGCCATTAACATTAATACGACATAAACCAATGCCTTTTCCACCAAACCAGTCACCATGGAATATCATGTGTAAGTAACCATTTAAAAGATATGGATGGTAATGAATATCAATGACTGGATAGCGAGACATAATACACATTCCTGAACCCAACATTCCACTGTAAAAGTAGAAAATATAAATCAAATAATAGAAGTAATAAGTTTCATAATTAAATACATGACTGCTGAAAAGTAATTATTGAAATTTTTTAGTTTGTCCATGACTCATAAGCATAAATATTAAAATAATAATTGTTTCATATATTTGACTAGGGAGAAAAGTAATGAATTTATTTTTGGGAATTGATACCTATACTTTATTTATACATTTATAAGTTAATTATAACCATGAGCAGTAACTTGCAACTCTTGAAAATGTTTGTGGAAGTAAATTTATAAGATATTAAAGCCCATAGAGAAGCACTTTAACAATAACCATAACATTTTACTTGATGTGTGTAAACTTAATCATGTACCTAATTTGCCTTAACTTAAATGAATAAGTTAAAACTCTATGACATTTTGTAGCAATTTTTTTTAAAAACTTTGGTAGTCGATATTACCTAGTTATTGGTTTAAGCTTGTGTTTGTGTATAGGTGAGAACATGTGCCGTTAAGATATGGTGTAGGCTACAAATAACAGGTGATCCATCTAAGATCAAGCTGTGGTAGAAGCAAATATAATATTTGTCATATTATGAAATAGGTATGGAATACATTTTTGCACCAATACAAATGACTTAACTAAATTTATAATATATACATTTTCTGTAACTTTTTTAATATCAGTTTATAAATGTGTCTATATTATTTAAACATCAAGTGTAATTATAAACATACCTATGAAAGTAATGTATACACCTAAATATATTTTTACATGTTTCTTTCAAATATTTGTAGTCCTCTTCACACCACAACTCTTGCAGACAAATTACGTCATAGTTGTTACCCAAGAGTGCATCAGCTAGTGCCTTAATACGTGCTGAACGATTTTTTCCAACAAACTTCAAACCCCTTTAAATTAGTAATAGTATTTACATGAATTAGTATATAATATTATTAAACGCAAACTAATGATGACCAATTTTCATACCAAACATTAAGAGTAAATACACTTAATTTCATTTTAACTATTATTGTTAAATTTATCTAATAGGTACACAAAGAGTACCGTTTAAAACGATCTGGTTTTTTAAATATATTTTATTATTACTTATTTACAATAGTTAACAAAAAAATAAGTAAAATAACTCAATTTTAGAACAAACGTTTAATTAGGCCAACAACTGTTACAGTACTCAACACTATCATTTTCGACAAGCTATGTCACGATTTCGATTAACGAAAACAATTTAAAATAAAATTATTAAAAATAAAATTATAAACTGTATATCGTCATTCGCGGATTCGCCACAGGTCAATGGAGATTGCCGCTTGGGCAATTTGATATTTTGGTAGATACTAGATAACGGTAACTGTCATATCAGTTTCTTAATGTGACTTGTGACTGGGTTTCATTGGCGATTGGTACCTAGTTGGCGCGTAGGATACATTCTGTAATCGTATTCATATTTCATACAACAATCAGCTTTTTTTTTTTTTAAATAAGTAAATAAAAATATGTTTTCCTCTTTCACGGGTTCAAAAGATACGCTGAACACCATAAATGGTTAACTATAATATTTAAAGTGTATTTAATTATTTTAAAATTTAAAGTCTACAAAACGAAACTTCTGTTTAATTAGATAATAGGTAGATGAAAAGATGTTTTAAAATGTTTAAAAACATGATTATTTTAACAGTCAAAATTTGATGGCACCAACATCACCATTTAAAACAAATGGTTAATTCGTTTTTTTCCTTGTATCCTCCATATCGATATTTCATTACTATTTTTATATAATTATGAATGATTGCACTTAATACATATTGTAAATTATTTTTTTAAAGTCATGGTTTTTATTTTTTTATGTTTTCATGTTTTTCATGTAAAGTCATGTTTTTAATTTTTTTAAAGTCAAATTTAATTTGTTGAGCTATATTAAAAACTGAGCATTAACATTATATATATGCCTTATAATATTAAATTATGCATAATATAGCTGTACCCCCAACTCGTAAGTATGTATAATAAAGTAAAATTATTTAATTTATAATTCTTTTGACCTAGATAGGTAACACTGTACTTCAAGATAAAAGTTATCTGTTGTATACACACAAGCGTGGCCTTATACATGATAATATCTTGACTCTTGTGCACAAGTTTGATAACTGATAAGTGTACTGTGTACGGCGTACAGTGTAGTGGCTACCTGCTAGCTGTTCACTATAGAAGTAGGAACTGTTGTCAGTTGTTATTCGCTCATTTATTATATTTAACAGAAAACCCGTAAGGCATACGCTAAACACACAGCACGCGGTACGTCGTTTCTAAGTTCAAGAGTTCGGAGAATTTAATAATATTTGAATTTGTTAGGAAATTTTAATAGTGATCTGAGTCCTGAGATCACATTGTTAATGATTAAAATTTCCAGGGTTCGACAATTTATATTCTGTTTAAATAAATAGGAATGGAGACTATTACAAAAAGAGTAAGTATTATTAGTTTATACATTTTACAAAAAAATAATTTAAACTGGATTCTTACTTAACTGTCACTTTTTCAATTATTTACCTATTTATTATAAACTAATCTTCTGTTCAGATGTCAAGTACTCAAATTGAAGCTAGACAAGCTTCTTCTACTGATTCACCAAATAATAGTTCCAGTGAAGATGACAAAGAGTTACCAGCAGCAGAAAAATCATTATTGCAAAAAATCGTACGAACAGGACTTATAACATCAAAGCATGATATTGAAGTTCAAAGACGTGATCCTAAGTCTCCATTATATTCTGTGAAGTCTTTTGAACTTCTTAAATTGTATGTTATCTTATATTACGGTATAAATCTATTCTATACATCCTAGGTATTCCACGCTATATGATTTTTCGGGTGCAGCTCTATCTTAATTATTATTCAATCTTTCCCACTATTTCGTTATTAAAAAGGTTGCTGTATTTCATTAGGCTATAGACTATCTTAGCATACTTTAACTCTATAATAAACAAACTTAAAATATTTTATGAAACCGAATAATTTTTTTATTCAACATAATGAAGCAAAACCAGTTATAATATACAAAGTACATTTTAGTATATATCCTTTTTTTTATATTATACAATAGTTATATTATATACATATATTGTACATTTTTTTAGTACAATATGTCAATAGGTAAAATAATTACAAAATATGTTTTTTTATTGTTTTGTCTCATGTTAATCATTAATTTTGTAATATCTTATGGGACATGGTGTGGTACAGTGGTTATCTTACGGCTTAGGTGATACTCGCCACTTGATGAGTCCGTCACTGCTTGATCCTGGATGGGTGATCACCCACGTTTTTCAGTGACAGCTCTAGCCCTAGCACTCCTGTTCAATACCTACACTAGCCTATAAACTTAGAACACCCAAACAACAAGCTGATATCTATAAATGGCTTAAAGGCTTAAAAAATTTATTTTTATTTTTCAAACAACCCGGGTATTTTTAGCCAGGTTATTTATTTTCAAACAGTTGCAATCTGTTGCTATAAGAGAATAAACCATGAAACATTTAAAGTTATTTTGAAACCTTTAAAACTACTCTTGAGTTGCCTGTTTCTTTATATATTTGTAATTATAAATCTTATGACGCTGTAAAAAAAAAAAATGTAATAAGGGGACCCCGGACCTGATATGAAATAGTTGCTTCAATATTAAATTATAGGTTTTATTATTTATTAGCTAATACATTTGTTTAAAATTTAATATTTTTTTAGGACTCCAAACTTGTTAAAAGGTGTTTATGAAATGGGTTACAATGCACCATCTAAGATTCAAGAAACAGCATTACCTTTACTTTTGGCAAATCCGTAAGTTTAAAACTTTCTTCTAATATTGATTTTGTGTTGCTTAGCATTTATTTTGTATCAAACTGACCTAAATATGATAAACACACATTGCTTTAAGTTCAGTATAATAGAAAGTGTCTGTAGATAGGTTTAAACAGTACAGATACGAATAGTATATGTATATCAATCACAGGCACTTCTTCTTCGCTGTCATGAAAGCTCTCCCCTCTCCCCCCCCCCCTAATACATAAAGACAAATTATACCCAGCTAATTCTTGTTTGTTTTATATAGTTGTTTTACATTACACATTATTTTATAGGCCCCAAAATTTAATTGCTCAATCACAGTCTGGAACAGGAAAAACTGCAGCTTTTGTTTTGGCAATGTTAAGTAGAGTTGACCCTGAGCTGGAATATCCACAAGTAATTTTTATTAAAATTATTACTATAGATTAATATATTAAATGTATTTATTTCACCTCCATATTTATTTTTTATGTTAGAAAAAAGTATTATAATTATTAAGGAATCTATAATGAACATCCTTATTGGTGTCATTTTTTCCCATTATATTTTAATTATAATATTCGGCGAAAAAAAATCTATAAATTAGGATGGTTGTTAATTTTGATTTTGAGGAGCAAAGTATAGAAATAGGTTTAAAATATCAACAAAAAAAAAATGCCCTAATTTTTTCAGATTTTTCATTTAAGAATAACAGGTGCCGCACAGGGCTTCAAGATTTGTATTGAAATGATATTGCTATTATTTATTTTCCAATAATTATTTTATTACAACGGCTAATAAACTGCAAAAAAATGTTCAACTATGAAGAATTGTCGGGAATTGGTGCTGGTACAAACGAGAATGTAGATAAATAACAATCCAATTAATTTTCAATTTATACAAGACACCTATATAATATTTTTTGCATATTCAATATAAATAATGAATACTTCTAAATCCAGACTGTTACAATTTTTTTTCTATACTTTGTTCCTCAAAATCGAAATTAACGACCACCCTAATATATATATATATATTATATAATGAGTATTGCAATTTATCAATACAAATTTCAATGTATCAACTAAGTTGCGTTATCAGTAAATACTAAAATTTATAAATTTAAGTTACTACTCTATTTGATATTGAATATTGAAAGTTGCTGAATAAAAGTGTTGATATTAATGTTGTATCAAAATTTCATTATCATTGTAGACTTCTGATATATAATTTTACATGACCTAGAATATTTTAAAAAAAATGTTGTGTTTACTTACTTTGGTCTAGACCTAGTTTAATAATATGTTAATCACATATTTAATAGATATAAATATTTTTATAATTGTATAGAGTATTAGACTATTAAAAAATTTACTTTTTTGACTGTCAAGTGAGGCCTCTATTCAAATTGTCCTGTAGTTCTCTAAATTTTTAGATCAGATCTGTGTTAGTTAGGGTGTATCATAATATAAATAATTAAAAAAAAGTTAAATTTAGTAAATTATTATTTCAGGTGATATGTTTATCACCTACTTATGAATTGGCTATTCAAACTGGCGAGGTTGCTGCAAAGATGTCCACTTACTGTCCTAACATAAGACTCAGATATGCTGTTAGGGGTGAAGAAGGTATGTATTTATTGTTTTGTCAACAACTGTATTCAAATCAATAGATAATTTAATTAAGTATTTTTATAGTTGAAAAGGGTTCTAAAATACAAGAACAAATCATTGTTGGTACACCTGGAAAAGTGTTAGATTGGGCTACAAAGTATAGATTTTTTGATCCTAAAAAAATTAAAGTATTTGTTTTGGATGAAGCAGATATTATGGTAGATACCCAAGGCCATCAAGATCAAAGTTTTCGTATAAGAAAGTAAATAAATCATGGTATTTTATTTAAAAATTCCACGTTTGTATTGAATTTATATTTTGTAATGAATAGATTGTTGAATGAGTCATGTCAAATGATGTTCTTTTCTGCTACCTATACTGAAGATGTCATGAGATTTGCCAACGCTATTGCTCCAATGGCTGTAATTATACGATTGAAGCGAGAAGAAGAAACTCTAGATAATATAAGACAATATTATGTGAACTGCAATAATAAAGAAGACAAATACAATGCGTTGGTTAATATTTATGGTGGAGTAACTATAGGACAAGCTATGATATTTTGCCAGGTATTATTTCCAAATTTCTTAGCTTGCTTAATATTTATTAACTAAATTAAAAATATTTATTAAAATTTTATATTATAATTAAAATTATTAACAAAATCATTGATTTTAGAATATACAGATGGTGCTACACACAGAAACGGCAACCGATTTTGTGTTTAGCACCGCTTATCTATATACTAAACTGAATGTTTAAACTAATAATAAATTTAAAAAGCACTTTAAATTTAAATATATACCTAAATTTTAGCTTTTATGCTTAGCTGATAGGTATTATGATAATGATGTTTGTCTGGTCATAATAACCTAATCATTGGGCTGATTCTTCATATAAACAACTTATAGATCGTAAATTGTAAACAAAAAGTATTTAATAAAACTACAAGTTAAAAAATTTAGTTAAATAAAATAAAATATTCAACCTTAAAATTAAAAAAAAAAAAATTGTCTATTGTTGATCAAAACATAAATTTGATTAATATGGTGATCAATTTAACGTAAGACGCTCATTTTCTCGAAAAATAATTACAGATACTTTTTCTTTTTAAAAACATTTTTATTTATGTTATTATACAATTTATGAAATTACCAATTATTCACCTATTTTGGTATTTTCCAGAGCGCTATTAACTTTTTGAAAGTGAAATAAGTTGCTGAAAATTTAGACTGGTTGATGGATGACCCGTTTTAGATAATTAGTTGTAGTTAATAAATTTTAAAATTAAGAATGAGAGGAAGGGTGGAGTGTAGCACTATTTTTATCTGCGCCCATCCGGAATTTTAAACTTAAATCAGCTTTAAAACTAATTATCTATAACTGGTTATTGACTTTATATCTCATTAACTAATGCAGATAGCTCAATTTTAAAACTTGAAATTTTCATAAACAATGTTTTAAAATTAAATCTTATCATTCTGTGCAAAATTGCATTGTTTTTCAGTGATATTATTCTAATTAATAATTATTAGAAACTAAATTTAAGTAATTATTTACCATTTTTCTTGAATAGCAAATGAATGGGTAACTTGTTTTTATTCAAAAAGAACTTATAAATATTGTTTTAATAAATATTTTAAACATATTTTTATTTATGATTTAGCATTAGGTAATTAATTAAAGGCTATACATTTACATCTTAAAATAGTTGACAAAAATAATTTAAATAAATTAAAATTACATAAGTGCACTATGAGAATTTCCATTTGAAATTTAAAAAAATTATTGAAAATTAAATTGGTAATATAAAATTGATGACTTACTTCTATATTATTAAAAGGATATTTTTATATAATTAAAGAATTAAATTACTTCAATTTTGAGTATTGTATTATTTGTTTGAAGTTTTTCTACAAGTGGTGTTTGTTTTTTGTCTAGTATAATTTGTTTTAACGCTTTACATTTAATTATATCATTGAATGAGTTTTCTTGAAGATTGTTTTCTCTTAAATCTAATACATCAAGACATGGTAAATCTGGAAATCCTTTTAAATTATTTAGATTACAGTTTCTTAGTGATAAATCTTTACATGATAACAAATATTTTAACTGTTGTAAATTACTATTTGACAAATCATTGTCACCAAAATCAACTCTGTGGCTGCTAATAAACATGTTGATATGATAAAATGCTGTTAAATTATATCCTCTTAAGTTAACATATTTTGTATCTTGGGTGTTAGAAATCCAATGTTCGATCCGATAACGACTTTCAAGATCACAGTAGTAATTTTTTCGCAATTTATCAATTTTTTTCAATATACTTAAATTTGCTAAACATTTTTCAAAATAATTTTCTGGTTTTAAAGTGTATAGAAGTAAAACGTAAGTAAGTAGAACCCACTTACTTTCAGGTTCCATTTCTATCAACTGATTTAAGCTTTCTATTTGTGCATTTAGAATTTCTTTAAGCTGCGCACTAATATTAATGTTAAAAATGTCTCGATTTCTTAGTACACTAACTGATGCCTTATCAATTGTTTGGTTATTTTCATTAAGTATTTCTACACATAAATCATTATTTTCTCTTTTATTATACCAAACTTTTAAATCAAATGAGCTCCAGTCAGTCTCACTTAGGCCTTTAATATTATAATGTTTAGGTAAACATCTATTGAGTACCAAGAATACATTATTATTTATAGAACATGTTTGGTATATGTATATTGAGGGCTCTAATTTTCCGATTAACCACCGTTGATATATCCAAGCACTTTGGTCAGAGGGTTCCGTAAATGCAGCACTTAGTACTAAAGATAATTCTGAATGTTTTGTCGATTCTTCATAACTACCTGCTGCACTTATTAACTTTGATCTATAATGCCATGCCGAATAGTTTGAAAAATTTAAATTAATCATTTCCATTGTAAATTGTAATTCATTTTCATTTGGTTCTTGGCACTTGGAAGCAACTATTTGTCTATAATCCCAACAATGAAAATTTCTCTCATCCATTCTCAAATACTTAGTGCATAGTGTTAGTTCTTTGTGCCAGTCGGGTTCGGGATCGACATTATCCAATACCCAGTTCCTGTGAAACCATGCAGAATAGGATTTTGGATTTACTTGCAAACATTTTTCTGTTAAATAAAGCTCTTCATTAATTAGTTCCTTTGAAGGTTTTAAAACTAAAAGAATTTCTTTTCTATAATTCCATAAAGTAGCAAGATCTGGATTTGAGCGTAAAAGGCCCTCAGAAGATTGTAGGGCTAATTCATCATATTCTTTTATAGAACGGTGTTTGAATACTTCACTTATACCTTTTTGGTACCATTTTAGTCTTCTTTCTTTTTCTCGATTTTCTTGAGCTTTTTGTGCTTCAGTTGTTTGTACTTTCAGTCTGTTATGCATATTGTATTACTTCTAAATATAATTATACATAATGTTAGTAACGTTTTAAAATTAGTTTGGTAGTCATAAAATAAATAGATATTTTACTTACCCAAGTATTAATATTATTATTTGTATGAACATTAAATTCCTTTATTTCAATATGTGTATTGAGTATTCTAACTCATTAATAATTATGTAACTCGGTAATAATAATTATTTCAAGTTTACTTAAATATCAAGTACGACGCATGATAATTCGAATTTCGAGCTATGACTAAGCTTAATTTAGTGTTAAGTTTATTATACAATATTGAATAATATACTGTTTATAATAACTGATAAGCCGTAAATCGTATTGCAATCTTGAATCTTCCAAGTTTCATGTCATAAGTAAATATAAGACCGTGGTAACAATCGACCGTCGAGTCATGATAAAAATAAAAGTGGGCGGGGACGTATCGAGTGATATCTAGTAGTATTCTTTGGGGAGATAACACTATATCAAAAAATAGGTATGTCGGCATTTTGTGTTAACAATTTCCACAACATGGCTGCCATCTCCCATAAGACACATACACAGCCGCCTGAAATCACTGGCAGCCATTTTGTCATAACCCAAATTGCTCATATACTTATATCTTTCTGTAATAATAACCGTCATCAACAGCCTCTGATTCGTTGTGTAAAATTGGTGGAATATTCAAATTTTCAAATAATGAATTTAAAAAAAATCAGATACCCTGACGTATAACTTGCAAACAATATAAACCGTCACTAGTAAAAAATATCAACATTATTAAAACTTGCACGAGATAAGTACAATAAACCCATTAAGTAACAGAATTACCTTAAATTTCACTAAAAAAAAGTCATTTAGGAATGGCAAATCAATTTTTTGTTATGAGCTCATCAGAAGTTTATCCATGAATCATAATTTAAGTGACCGAAAATCTTTTACATTATCACTATTTACCCCTTGTTACTCTTGGTTTTACTTTCTATAATTAATGTTAGTACATTAAAATTATATTGATTTAATGTTAATTATAATATTTGTTGCGATTCTGTGACATTTTTTTATATATCATAATTATTATGTAAAAACAGACATAAATAAAGTGTTGGTAACTTATTGGTAACTACTATTTTCGAAATTACGCCATTATAAGGGTACATAAAATTACATAAAAAAATGATTAAAAGTAGCATATCAAATTCACGTGAAAACATGTATACAAATTTTAAATAACAAAATAATAATTTGATATGTGTTAATTTTCATCTTTTAAATCTGAAAATTAAACTGTTGATAGCTCTTTGAAATCTATACCTTAAGAATCTATTAGGATTAATTAATACTTGAATCAATCTAAATTATTTAAACTTTAATTACAGACTAAAAAAATGGCTTTATGGTTGGTTAATCAAATGATGGAACAAGGACATGCTGTAGCATTATTATCTGGGGAGCTGACAGTACAACAAAGAATAACAGTATTGGATCGTTTCCGTGAAGGCAAAGAAAAAGTTCTGGTTACAACAAATGTACTTTCTAGAGGTAAATTATGCTATACGTTACTTTTAAATATATATTAAAGACATTTGGTTGTTTTTTTTTTAGGTATTGACATTGAACAAGTCACAATTGTCATTAACTTTGACTTGCCTGTGACTTTTTCTCGCGAACCAGACTATGATACATATCTACACAGAATTGGACGAACTGGACGTTTTGGTAAAAAAGGTATTGCCATTAATCTTGTTAGTGGTAATACGGACTTTCATATACTTAAACAAATTGAAAATCACTTTTCCATAAAAATTAATAATTTGAATACGGATAATGCTGATGATATGGAGAAACTTGGGGCTGAGGATTAATTTTTATAATCTTGTATATTATTATAATTGTATAATTATTGACTATAAATCAACATTAAATTGAATAAAATAAAATATAAATTAAAACTTTTATTAATGAAGTAATGTGTTTATTTTTGTATAAGTTTTATCTTTTTCTATATAAGTAAAAACTATTGTCACTTGACTAATGGATGACAAATTGATTTTAGTTACCTAATTTATTATTTACAATTGAGCATGATATCTAAAAATATAGTACAGAATATTACAATAAAGGACAACAAAAGTAAAAAAGTATCTTGACCGGGGTAGCTGTCCATAGAAAAGAGATTAATGCTACAGTACAGATTAAGGCCGACAGCTATATAGTTTTCGCGTCTGGGAACCAGACTATAACATATATGTCCGTGAAGATGGACTAAAGATAAATTCAAAAAGAAGCGTGATAATTGTACCATTGATCAAATATACTTGTATATTTAATCAATGATTGTACGTAATCCGAGAAAACAAAATGGCTGGGACACTTTTTAGTTCCAGCCCAAGTTTCCCTTCTGGTTATTCTGTGGTATCAGTATAAATATTGTTATCATTTATTTGTATTTTGTATATATTATTTTGATAATACAAGTAAAAATATAGTGCAAACAGGAATAATTATTACAATGTAATTATTCACAAAACTCAAAAGTTATACTTGTTTTGTCTTAATATTTACAAATTAAAGTATACATACAAATGTTCAACTTAAAGAAATTATTTTTCTAGAATAATTAAGTATAAAAAATGGTAGAATTTAATACTTTACTTTTTGTAACATTTTTTTCACTATTGTTTTCTCTAAAATGGTGAGTTTTTTATTGATATTTCTATAAGTTACACACAATTAACTGGTTGTAAATTAGGTTGCTTCCAAAAGTCATCAGCTTATTTCTCAAGTACAAGTATTGTTTGAATGTAAAAATACGCACAGCTGGAATATTTTCATTGCAAGACATCATTGTAGTGAAAAATGGATATTCAGTGGTAAGAAGCTAGAATATGTAATTCTGGTAGATAATGATCAAATGTTTTTTCATAGCACATAGATAATATTGGTTTTCGAAGTAGTTTTATTAGCAGCGAAGTAAATAAATTAATATGTCTTGTGGCTCGAGATGTAAGAGTTGAAAAAAATATTGATTGGAATGATTCGACTCCAAAAAAACAGTACAATAACAAAATAACAAATGTGCTGCCAATTATTATGAAATTTGCTCAGGTATTCATATTTTAACATAGAATACATATAAACAGGTATATAGTAAGTAATAATTATGTGTTTTAGTTTTTGGCAGTTCGAATAAGCTGTATATCATTTGTATCGTTACAACCGAATAGTCCAGAATGGTTGTTTGTGATATCTGTTACTGATCTTCATTTAGATGCATCTGTGATTGGGTCATCTAGACAGTTATTAGCTAACGTTAACGCTCCTTATGCGGAAGCAAAGTTACTTCATCATCCTAAGAATGCAAATTCATGTTGTTTGGCTAAAGTCACAGTGAATGTCTGTGCTGAAAGCATATTAGACACTCATGAACCCTTAACAATAGAAACATTAATTTTGAAGCTTGACAAATCCAAAATCATTTTAAATAAAGGTTTATATGGATTCATACAAAACAACTGTACTAATTTAATGTTACCAAAAAAACAGAACAATTTAATGGATATAAATGTATCAGAAATACCACTTTTACCCACCATTCCACCATTTCTACCAAAAGTAAGTTATAATAAATGTATGGTATACCCTGTTAGCTGAGAGAGCATGCCGCGACCCGACAAAAATTGGCTGTTCTGCGCATCCCCGCGTCGCACCCAGTGTGACTAGCGTTCCCCCAGAGTCCGCCCTGTCTGCCAGCCTTAGTCTTGCTGCTTAGTCTTTAGTCTACATGCGTAAACCCGGCATGCTCTCTCAGCGAACAGGGTATAGATAGATTTACTACGAAAATATAGTACACCATTTCATAAACTTAAATTTCTCATTATGCAAAAATCTAAGAAAAAATAGAAACTATTAATGTGGATGAAACTCAAATTTTTTAATTATACATATTTAAAAAATAAATATGGATATTTTTAATTTGGGGTATTTCCATCTATAACTAGTTAATATTTAGTTTATACTGATATATATATATATTTTAATTTCTAGAAAATTAAAATTCAACTACATGAGTTGAGTGTTGTTGATGTAACAGAAAATTCAATTACTGAAATGAAAGGAGAGTTAAAAGCATTAGCGATAGAAAGCCTCATAACTCATGATGTCAATGATAATTTAATTAAACAATGTAAAGTAGTGATAATTCAGTATTAGTTTATGTTCATTATTTTAAAAAATTATTTTGTTCACAGGTAATCTTTCCCTAAAAATTGCATTTGAAAACATGTCTTTAATGGGACAAGAAGAAACATATATCTTATTTGAAAAATTTATGTTTGAAACAAAGGTATTTTTTTATTTAAAACATTGTTTAACTGCTTTGTGTATGATTTTTTTTAGATTGATTTTATGATTGTTTTTTTTTAAACATCTTACATATTTACATAGTTTTCAACTTCAAATTATGGCATGTTATAATTTACCAAAAAATAGTTTAAAAAACTCATTGGAGTATTCCTAAATATAGCATAACCTTTGAATAATAGTATAATTGATTTATATGTAGCCTGTCCAAAAAATATGCATAGTAATACGATAATAGTTTAATTTAAAATAAATTAGTTTTATCCCTTTAAAGTATCCCCTTTCCATGTGTTGTAATCCACTTGTCTCATTTTCATTTCCATTGCTCAAAACATCCCTTAGTCATTAGAAGTTGGGTTCTTCAGCTGCCTTGTCAATTTGCAGTTGACTGTGTCCAAAATTCGATCACGGCACTTTATTAACCCTAACTCACCTTTCTGATATTTTTTATACCTCGAAATGTAAAATGATTATGTAGGGGTGGCACTGGGTTGACGTAGTCACCATCAAATGCAAATTGACAAGGCAGCTGAAGAACCCTAATTTTCAGGACTTCGAGGGGTGTCTTGAGCAATGGATACGATGATGGGACAAGTGGATAACAACAAATGTATAGTATTTTAAAGTACAAAAATTGATTTATTTAAAATAAACTAGTTTACATACATCAGTTCGCGTATTAATTGGATAGACTAGGTATACATTAAATATAATATGAAAGAATCAATTCAGCTGTTAAAACGTGATGTTGTTAAGGGTACCACAGAAAATGAAATATGTTTTGTTTAAGACTTACATTTTTTAATAAAAAATCATTTCTATTACCATTCAAATAATATGATTGTCTAAAAAATTAAACCCTTTTTGATCTATTAAACAAATCATTTTTAATGAATTATTATATTTGGATTTCTTTCTTAAAACGTCCTAGGTTAATTTTATTCAACTTAATTTAATTGATTTATCTGGTAGTCTTTAAAAAATTGTTTCGGAAAAGTCACTATTTTTATTACATCTACTTTATAGGCATTGTATTTATTTGTATTGTGTACCAACTAGGGTTTTTTTTTACTGAGAGGGATTTGATTAGATATCTGAATATTTTATCCTATCATAAAAATAAAATAATAATATTAAAAAGTATGTATTATTGTTTATGTATGAACTTAATTTATTATTAAATAATAATATTATATTATTTAAAAGTATTTCAGGAGATCTCTTAAATTTGATTTGAGAATTGACAGCGTATATTATTTATATTCTCATGATGACATTTTTCTATGGTACACATCATACACAGATCCAATACTTAAATCATATCAGGTAAATATGTATAAAATTTTAATTTTTAATTTAGCAGTTAATTCAAATTGTTCTCCCCTTAAAGAGAATAAGTTACATTGTAATCGACATTGTACTAAAATACCTATATTTTTAGTATTGTTCAATGTTGTTTTATTTTGAATATAAAATAAAATTAGAAATATCTGAGAAAACGAATTATTGTTGTAATTTAAAAATAATTAAAACTCTTTGTTGTTGACTTCTTTAGTCATCTTCATTAGGTACATTACAAACGAGGAAAGAATTATCTCAAACAAGTCATTTTGATGATATAAGTATTGACGGATTGTTTCAACTTCATAATGTTACAACCAAATATAGACTTACTAAAGAGTGTGTATCTTTCAACTATAATAAGTTTAAACTGGTGTTGTCGTGTAACCCATGTGTCTATAGTGAGCCCATTAAACTATTTAAAATAATTATTATTGTATAGTTTTGAAACTGTTAATATATTATTTAGGAAACGACAACTACTCGGACGATTCTAAAAGTGTACTGTACAGTTTTTATAACCGAAAATGGTGTAGCGATTTACAAGTAGAAACTGTGCGCTGCTGGTTACAACCATTTTTAAATACTGAATACAATCCAGGAATGAAAAAGTGTCATGCATGGGGTACGCCACTATTTATAGGGCTGATTTTAATACAGGTATTCCATACATTAAAAATAATATTAATTATTAAACCATTTTATTTTTATGGTTTTACTAACTTTTTTTAAGATGAAAAATAATATCTCTTCAAATACAACTAAGCTTAATGTATTAATGGATACAGTTCGTTTAGAATGGAGTCCACCTCTAGCTCAATTTATTTTAAAAGCTCATTATTGCGTACAACAGTAAGTATAAATTATTTGCCTGGAGTATAAACATTTATTATGTACATTGTAATTTAGTTATAATTAATATTAATTTCAAACAATTTTAAATTATTATATTTTATACTAAAATTTAAAGAGTTATATCTGCTTTGGAATTAAAAAAACCGAAGACAGAAAATAATGAAACTGATGTCACAAAAAATAAAGTATTGTCAATGGAAAGTGTTGCAGTTTCTATTTCAATTTCAAATGCTAATGCATTCCTTATAGCAGATCAGAAAAGTACACGTTAAATAAACTGTTTCACAGTTTAGATTATATAAATAATTCAATATTTTGTGTTTTAGTCTGTATATTAGTACGCATGGATACAATTTCATCCGATATTGAGATGCCAGAATTAAGATGTGTGATTGAAGGGTTTAAATGTGATTCATTGATACCGACAAAATACCACTACTTATGCACATCATCAGACGATTTTAAAGTAATTTATAGTTATATAATTATAAATAAATAAAAATAAATTAAGTATTTTTTTTAATGTTTTCGTATTGATTTCTATGTTAATAGAGCTGGTGGTTTTATGCTAAGACATTAAGAATTGAAACAAAGTATGCTAGTACCAAAGAAATAATTGTTGAAATAAATGAAATATTTGAATGTCGCTGGAGTACAAATATTCATTTAAAGTTGTTAACTATATATACTGACATGTCAGATTTAAAAAATCATTTAGGTATTGAATTATAAATATTCATATATGTGCAAGGTTATCTAAAATTCATGATGTATTAATTTTTTCTAAAACCAAATTGTTAGCTAAAAAAGTTGTTTATTAAATAATTTTGTTAGAAATAGGCAAATCAAATATGTATGTTGCGTCATTCGATTACTAAAAGACTCTCCTGAAACTGCTCTCTAATATTTTTAATTTAATCGTTAAAAATTATTTTAAAATAACTAATATAATAATAATTCTACTTATAACCTTTTTTTGCCAACACAATTATTTACAGAAAAAATTACTGTACCATTAGTTTGGATAACCTTGGATTTGTACTATAAAACATAAAATATACTTTTTATAGGCCTTACTGATTCAAGTTATTCAGTTACTGTACCAAAGTTTATTGATATTTCATTATATGTCAAATCAAAGTTCAAATTTTCTATGAAAGTTTCATCTGCTCATTATTTGTTGTTTTCTACAGGTAAAAAAATATTTAATATCCTACATTTTATACTTTTAAAACAATGCATTAAATTTAAACAATACATTATTCATTTATTCATTATTTGATATAAAAATGTATACATATATTATTAAAAATATAAAATACTTTGTATACATTTTTTTAGACGATTTGACATATTTCAAGAAAGGTGGAAAGCTACGCAAGTTAGAAAGCAAATTATTTAAAGTTGGAGTAGATCAATATAATATATTTACTGTAAAAGGGTTTAAGATGTTGAAGACAGATTTTAATAAGAATGTTATGACGGAGAGACAAAATTCTGAGGGGTTAACAACTGAAACAAACGCTATTTGGTAAAATCTATATATTTGATGTAATAAATAACGTCAAAATACTTTTAACTTTATGATTTTTTTTAGGGATGTTGCAATAGACAATTTAAAAATGATGTTCCCATACGGTTTTGAATTTTACAGTATATTCCAAGGAGAATTTTTCAGTATTATAAAATGGTTAAAACTAATTCATAAAAAACCAAAACCAAATCCTGAACCTTTACCAAGTGATATTATTTTAAAAGTAATTTTTTCTTATACTATCCTTGATGAAAGCGACATGTTCTACATTAATTCTATATTGCAGATTCAAGAGATCCTGTTTGAGCTTTCTGATGATGATTTTGAGGTTAAACTTAGAGATAACTATGAATTGCTCGAAGACGAATACAAAGAGAGTTTAAAAAGACAAAAAATGCTTGAAACCAAAGTTTCTGAAGTTGTAAAAGATCGTTTACTATTACCAGCTGGAAAAGTTGAAGAGTTGTTGACTAGCTTGCAAAAAATGAATGCACAAATATACATACAACGTTCTAAGCAAATGAAACAGCAAGCACCTGTACGAACCCGTTTATTTTCTTGGACCATTTGTGATCTTTGTATTATAATTTTGGCCGATGAGTCCATGCACGGCCCACAAAAAGTTGTCAACCATATTTGTGAAATGGATGCAGAGAGTTTATGGCCCGAAGAGGGCTTAGAATTTTGTATACTTTGGTGTCGAATGATATTTGCAAGCTGTGCTGAGTGGAAATTTCAGCTTAGAGATTTTCCTCAGACTTGGCTTGATATCAGAAAATTTCAACTTTGGGGGAAATTAGCTGGAGCTGAACAAGAACCCACACGCCGAGGTAAACTTTTTATGTACATATATATTGAAATTATATTTTATTAGGGAAAGGATTAATTTGCATTAAATAAATGATAAAACATTTTTTATTAGAACATCTTAATACTAAAACTCAACAATTAAAAAATATATTTCTAATTGTTAAAAAATAATTTTAATATTAATCTTAAAACAATTTAATTGTTAAAAAAATAAAATACATTTTTTTCAGGAGACGCATAATTGTGTTTAAAATTGATGTTACTAATTCTATGTTACACTGTTCGAACGTTTATATACTCTTTGGAAATTATGATGTATGAGATATTTTTACATTTAGCTTTTACAAAATAATTTTTAGTATTAAGACTCGTTCTTAATGTTAAGTTTTATTGTTATCTGAGTATTTCTATGTATGTATTATGCTCACAATCCATTACTCTAAAAAACTTATGTATTGGGCTTTTCCCATTGATATATATATAAAATAAAACAAAAGTATTATTATTTATTATTTTTGTCCAAAAATGTGATGTATAAATCTCATTTTTGGTTATTTGGACTTAAGTGTTAATGTTTTATCAACGACGCTATGTTGAATAAACTTTTTCTTTTTCCAAAAAAAAGTTATTTATACTGTAATTGTTTTTTGTCAGCTAAACGAAGTGTAACTATTGAACTCAGTGATCCATATGGAGATGTGACCATTGAAAGAGGAATGACTTCATTAAAATATTATTATGATTTTAATTGTGAAGTTGATAAGTATACATATTCGTTTGGACCCTGTTGGGAACCAGTGATAGCCCAATGTAAATTATGTATGTTGTAAAATTAATTTTTTTTAGAAGTAAATTAAAAATAATAATTTTAGTATTTTGTTTTTTACAGGTCTAGAAAAAGTGTTAGGTTCCAGCCGTGATCCAAGCCCACCGTTGCCTTTTTGGGATAAAATACGCTTATTATATCATGGTCGTTTGACTATGATTGTGAACGAACTTAAGGTAAAACTACATGCATCGCTTGATCCTTACAACACGACTGAAGAAATGGAATTAAACTGGTATAATACAGCCATGGATTGGACTAATGGTATTTTAAAGCTTAAAAGTCTTAATTAAAAAGTTAAATGTTAAAGAGATTGTATTTTTAATGTATTTAGCAAAATTTATATTCAAAGGACATTTAAAAGTACTTGTTCGAACTGCTTCAAAATATGATGATGTTTGTTTATTAAATCTTCCTAATTTAAAGTTGGGAATTAAATTAAAATGGTCGTGTCTGGGCGATCCTAACGATCATTATTCAGTTATGCCTTGTGCTCCTGATAAACTTCCAGAGTATTCTAGTAACCAAGTAAGTTTATTGCTAAGTTCTCAACCAATCGGAACTTTAATTAGTTATTAATTTATATATTTTTGTTTTATTTTAGGAGCATGATTCATTCAGAGCTTTTCGTTCTCAAAACTTAAATGTTAGTCTTTCTATTGAAACTAAACCAGAATCAAATACTGGCTCTCCATATACAGATGCTGATTACCCAGTAGCATTATTATATGGTAGTACATTGAAGTAAGAAGTTATTTTAATTATCATGTTATATACTTACGGAAGATATTTCTTAGTCTTTTGTGTTCACTAAATTTGATGTAGTACCTCATGAATTTTCTTGTTATTCGTTTTATGATTTCATTATTATTGTAGATAAACATAATGCTATTATTGTATATTAATAAAATACTACCTATATGATTTCAGGTGGTTTGAAAATTTGAAATTGATTCTATCTGGTGTGACAAGGCCAACACGAAGGGGCCCATTGTTTAATAATAGCAGAATACGTAAATTAACATTGAGTCGGCATTATAGAAAAGTTAATTTGTGTGTGTCTCTACAACATTTCCAAGTACATTATTGGGTGTCATTTGCTTTACAACGAGGTTTTGAATTGTTTGGACAACGTATATCTACAAGTTCAGAGCATACTTTAGGTTTAGTGTCAAATTTTGAAGACGATTTACAACACCGTTCTCGGCCAGTTTGGTCTGTTGGTTATATGAACTGTGAGCTGATGGACACAGAAATATGGCTAAAAAGTGCACTGCAGTCTGACCAAGAAGAGCAAGAGGTGTGAATTGATTTTTGTAAAATTTAATAGAAAATTATAATTTGTTAAAATTAAATTTTGTAGTCCGAGGTGAAAGAAAAACCTGTGGAAAAATGTTATTTATTAAGTGTAAGTAAAGTATCTTACGGCAGAGAAACTACTGGAACATGTGAAGTTGATGGATCCCCCACTCCAATTCACAGATTAGTTGTGTATCACTTGAAAGGAGCATGGACTACAAGAAATAGAGATGTAGCTTTTGCTTTATTCAATTCCTTAGTAAAGAACCAGGTCAGGATAATATTCATTGTATTTTATGTCAACTCAGCTAGTTAATATGATAAATTTGTTAAAACTATATCGACCTATTTAGAAATTAAAAAAAAATCTATCAACTGAAGCACTAAAAGGATTTTGTATAAATGAAAATGGATGCACACCAATGAAAAATCGTACTAGAAGCGCTGATACTACTGAACAAACTACTTCAATATCATCTGTTTCATCAGTTGCAACATCATCTACATGTCAAGCTAGTCCTTCTCCCATGTCAAAATTACAATGTGGTGGTCAAGCAGCCAACATGCTACAACAACTTATATCTGAAGTTGATAATAAGCCTGTAGTCTTCAGTGATGATCTTTCTATGCAAGTAACAAGGGAACGAAGATTACAAGGTTTATCTGAGTGTCAGCAAGATGATGTTCTTTACAAAAATTGGCTAAGTGTGTTCAAACTATCTCTTCTTCTTCTTTCGAATTTGATAGTTTATTTTTTCGTCATATTATATGACTAAATAATTCCCTACGGTTTCCGATTCCATATGGAGTCCTAGGGTACTACAGAATGTGGTCGTCTGACTATCTCTAATTTTAGTACATTAGATTTATAAAACTCTTACTTCTACTTTTTCCAGTTGCATTGATCAACAGTCAAGTATTACTTAAAGGATGTGAAACGAAAGGTTATGTAATTGTAAGTGCTGCCAAAGCAGAAATTTTACAAAGAATTCATCGTCCGGTGTGGAAAGATCATTCATTAGTTTCTAAAACTACATGGGTAGGAACTCTGGATAGTATGCAATATTACGCTACAGTTAGTGCGGGGAAAACAGATTTTCTTGATGGTATAAATCAATAGTAAAATTATGTAGTAAACTGAAATATTTTTAAATATCTTATTGTTATGCCGATAGAACATATCATGTGGTTAAACGTAGAAAATATTCAACAAAAGGACATTGATAGCATAATCATATCAGATCTTCCTGATTTGCCTCATCTTGTCGGAAGTGGACATAGTGTTGGAGGTGTTGTAAGTGAAACCGTTGGTGCTAGTAATGTTGGGGAAAACTCTCCTTTGCAGGTAATTCAAATTAAGAATCATTATGTATTATTATATATTATATCATTATATGTCTTTTTCATTACCATATGTATTTGGACATTTTACATGCTGGTGCAATTTTTTTATGACCTTCTCTTACTCTATACAAAAATTCATGATTAATGCTATAAGTTTATTACCATTTAAATATTTATTGTTTAACAGCTCCAAAGAATTGTTTCACGATGTAAATGTGAGTTCTTTTATGCTGGTCACGGCGAAAGCAGTTTAAATCCAGCCCATTTAACTGAAGTACCTCCACCACCAACTGCTACTCCTGATGTGGTTGGTGATCCGGATTCACATGAACCTGTAGATGCATTTACTCTAATGCATCATGATTTAGATGTATGCACTAATTCACTTCAGGTAATTCAAAAACTTGATACTGAACTATACATAAACCTAACTGAAAAAAATAAAATCATATGTGTATGTTACAGTATGCCATGATATTAGATATTGTCAATAATTTACTTCTATATGTTGAACCTCGGCGAAAAGAAGCTTATGAACGATTACAAAGAATGCGTTTCCAATTACAGTTGCAAAGTAGTCAAGACCATAGACAGCCTATCCAACAACTACAAAATCATGTTCGGTATGTATTTTAAGAAAAACATTCTGACAATAAAAAAAGTCTTAACGAAATTTGTCCTTTTTTTTGTTATAATTTAAATATAAAGATTTAAATAAGTTTTTTCTTAATGTAATACATTTTCTTTAAAGTGTTTATTGTAATATAATTGACTATTTGAAGTGTATTGATAAAGCTAGTTCAGTTGTAAACAAATAATTTAACAATTTTTTCATTTAAAAACGTTTGGTTATTTAAACAAAAAATGTTTATTTCAATTTTGTAGATTTTTCATTAAGACAATATAAATAAAAAACAATTTTTTTCCAAATCTATAAAAGCATTATTAACAAGGAAAAAGTGAGTGAATATGATAAATAATAAATGGAAGTGTATTGAGCAAATAAAGACATGATCTAAGCTTCCAAGCTACTTGAAATTTTCCTATTTCAATATCAGCCACTCGGCTATTGTTAAATAAATATTATGATTTATGACTGATATTAGTTTTAACTTTAAACAAAATTCTATACAGGTGTTTAGTAGCAAAGTTAAGAAGACTTGAAAAAGAAATATTTTTATTGAAAAAAGAGGAAGATTGGCAAAATGATGAATTATTGTCCTCTGAAATAAGAAATTTGGAAAAACAGGTATCAAATTATAATAATATAGAAAAAAAAATTATTGTAATCAAATACATTGTTTTATTTAGAAGTGTAAAGGGATTGAATAAACACAAAATCTAATATAATTGTTAATGGCATATTTTAGATGAATGAGTTAAAAGATCAATTAAATTCAGAAAGTGAAGAATTAGATATGATGGTATCTTGTTATAAAGAGACCCAGCTACGAGCCACTCAAAAATTAGCAACATTAAGAGGCGACAAACCTAGTGTAGTACCATCTAGAGCTAATGAAATATGTTTTAAACATGCACAGTGGCGATTAACAGAAAACGATGGACAATTAGGTATTGCAGATTTGGTTCTCAGTAATTTTTTGTAAGTATTTAATACATGCATACAATATATTTAATACATATTTTTGTCTAAATGTAATGTTTATATAATAAGGTATACAAAAAATTCCAAAAGTGATGATTCTGTTGAGCACTTACTAGAATTAGGATATATCAGAATGACAAATCTCCTTGCTAATGAGTTGTATAAAGAAGTTATTCTACCCACTGAAATACAAAATAATATGCCAGTTGATGATCGCAAAGTAATTGCTATAACATTTCTGGATAAAAATATATTTTATACTAATGTAATATTATATAATGTATAATAATACAATTGTATTGTAGAGGGCAGTCAGAATATTTTGTAGAGAAAAAGCACCTGTTGGAGGTATATCTGTAAAGGAACATTTTGAAATTAATGTTGTGCCCTTAACTATTGGTAAGTTTTAAACATCTCATTATCAGTGTGCTTTATACAATTTATTATTTTATTATTAATGCGGTCTGTAATTTTACTCCAGGAATGACAAAAAAGTTCTACAGTACCATGATGAGATTTTGTTTTTCTGAAAGAGATTCAGAAAATATAGATGCTGAGACAGAAGAAAAATGTAAAGGAAAAAAAAAAGAAAGTAATTTTTATGTTCCTATAGAGCATAAAGATGATGTTGAAAAAATGAAGGTAAAAAAAATTAGGATTATTATGGCTATTAATAAGGGGAACGTAAAGAGCTATTTATGAAGGAATAAAATAAGATAGGAAACACCTGACAAAAATCTAGACAAAGATCTAGAAGGCATTTTAGATAGGTATAACAACTAATTAAAGAGTAAGTGACTGTACATTTTTATGTGTTATATTTTGTATTTAAAATTATACAGTCAATTATTATTTCAGTCTGTTGTTAGCGCTGAAGATGACAACATCGTTGTCGTAACACGTGTACGCAAGAAGTGTATAATTTTTATGGTTTAGGGTTCAAGTAGATTTTATATCTTTACTATATTTAAAATTAATTTATCTATAAGTTTTGGCAACATTTTGATAAAAAAATGACTTTCATAGAATTCGTTTTCTGATGTATCTGTTGAACAGATTTTCATCAAAACTTGCAACTTTTTCTTTAGGGCTATAAAATTGATTTTTGATTTAGTCAATAGAAAATCAATTAAATTTATTAGAAAAACTATAAAAAAATTTAAACAATTGCAACATATTTAAAAAAAAAAAAATTAAATATCAGCCTTTCAAATCAGAAAAGCAAGACGAGATGTTAAATTTTATAATCATTTTTTTTTTTAAATAGGTTCGGTAGACACCTTGAAAAATAACTTCACCTTTTAGACATTCTATAAATGAAATTTGTCACTTTCCATTCCTCTTATGAAACAAGTCTGGCATGGGTGCAATTATGTTATTAATTAATAAATATTTTCCCTCATTTTTTAGGAAAGAGCCGAAAAGAATAAGCTATTTATTTATATTAAAATTCCTGAAGTACCTGTAAAGGTTAGCTACAAAGGAAATAAAGAAAAAAACTTAGAAGACATTAGAGATTTTAGTTTAGTTATTCCAACTATTGAATACCACAATGTTACTTGGACTTGGTTAGACCTCTGTCAAGCCATGAAAACAGACAGTAGACGAGTTATTGTATCTCAGGTATGTTTATAAAAACAATTATGTTTGTGAATAAATAATACACAAAGTGTATTGTACAATCTTGATAATCCGACTTCTTGTCCTCATGAAAAACCAATAAAAAAAAACTTAAGTCCCTGTTTTAAATTTAGCATTTCCCTTAGTCGCCTATACTTTCCTTGTAACCTACTAGTATTTGTAGGTAATTTTATATTTTACGTCCTATGACTTCACAAATTATGAGTGTAGTATGTTTGCCTTGAACGAGAAAGCTGAAAAAGATTATTTATAAATATAACTAAAATATTGCTATCTTTTAGATAGTACTCAAATTGTTTTTTTTTTTTGTATTCTATTATGTACAGCCTGTATCTATTAATCCCACAAGGTTCTATTTGTGTTGGATTATTGATTTCATACTATATACACACATACACAATTTTCATATAATTTATTATTTCAAACTAGGCTATTAAACACAAATTACAAATAAAAACTAGCAAATCTATAGCAGATGGTGGTGTATCACCACAAGAAGAAGATAAAGCTAGAATGCTGTTTGGAAGCAAATTGGTTGTAAGTAAAAATTAAGTTTGTAGAATAAACTTAGATTAAGAGGACGCCAGTTATTTATATTTTATAATAGTCAATATAATTAATTTATTTATTATAAAATTGTTAAGACAAAATAAATGAGATGTACAAAAAAAATGAAAAGTAAATTTTACAAATATCTAAAATATTAATTTTTAATTTTAAGCAATATGCATTTATAATTTTTTAATTGAACTTGACATACAGATAAAACTTTAGCTGTATAAATCTAGTATTTGACATAGACATTTTTCAGTAAAACTATTAATAACAGTGTTTTTGTTTAAAAAACGTACAACTGTTTTTTAACTATGGCTAAAATTGTTTCATTAAAAATCATCCATATCAAAATCTTGAGCCTCGATCTTTAGTTTTTCATAGATGTATTTTAACACTAGAACTGCTCAGTTCATTTGTAGTGTGTACCCCTTAAGACATATTTTATTTGAAAATACAAAATGGTTAAGAGAGCGTCCTCTTAATTTATAAAATAGTATTAACTATATAACATGTTATTATTATTTTATAAATATTTTTTTCAGCAGAGTGAAAACAGATACTCCAAACGTGGCATTTTAAAATTTCCTAAGTAATATATATACTACAATGAAATGATGTATTTATAAACTGTGATACACAAATAGTTACCTGAACAATTAAGGAAAACTTTATAGGAATACCTTTAACCAGATACATGTTTATTTTGTTGGTTAAACTTTAATTGTGAACATAGCATTTATTAGGTATATATAAATAGGTATACATATAGAACATTTTTTAATTTAGCATATTATAATACATAAAATTGATTTATGTACTGCGGGTAACAATATTTTGTACAAAACTTGGTTCTAGATTAGAATTTTGGTTTATATTTTATGTATTTTTGTGAATTTATGTTTCAAAATCTGTTTTGTATTAACATTGACATTAATAATAATAAAGTGTATACTTATTAAAAAACATAAGCAATCAAGCTTAATGGATTTTATGAAGTATACATAATATAATCGATTTAGTTTTTTTTCAACCTATATTTATGTTTGTTACGATTACACTGGTAACCGTGTAAATAAAAAACCTGTACTAGTGCGTAACAGCACTGTCACATTAGTTCATTTGGCTCCATCGCCCATTTCTGTTTAGTCATGTTCTTTTATGTATAAATAGGTATTTTTTATTTATTTTTAGCAAAATCTGTAAACTTTAAGCATGTTGTAATCAATGTTGTCTAATCAGTAATCACGGAGTTATTTGGTAAAAAAAACAAATCATCTTATATATTTTTGTTAATAACATGTTACTATTTTAAACAGTTGCTTTTGAGGTTAAAAGTAATTTTATACAATAATCAACACCTCTATTAGCTAATTGCTATTAGAAATTGTTACAATTTTTAAATATCGTACTATTTTTTTTTCCAACCCTTAGTAACGCGCACAGTTTTCAGTCACACTTCATTTAAGTGTGGCTAAGGTAAACTTTCCACGTCAGTCACACACCTACATTGTAGGACTGGGTAAATTATTACCCAGTGTGAGTCACTAAGGGTAAGACGAATACAAATATTACATACTTGATTTTCAGAGATAAACTTCTATATATTTTCTAATATTTACACAACAAAAAAACATTAATCTTTATAGTAGTAAGGAGACCTTGGTGCAGAAAACCCTTTATATTTCTTTTTAGTTTTCAACCCAGTGACTAAAGTTGAAGTTTCAGGAAATGCTGACACACCTTCAAACATCATATCGGTTTCAGGATGGAACCTGTGGTAATCGGAGAGTATGTGGAGATTTGGTGGAAGTTCACGTTTTTGTAGTGCATCATAAGGCACAACTGTGTCCACTGGAGTTTCATAGAATTCATATATTTCACCTATATACATAATTTTTTTAATAAAATGTTTAGTTATTAAACAAAGAATTTAAAACAATTTAATATACCTAAGGTGTTTACGGTATGTAGAAGTGAATTGGGGACTCTATGATCCACCATTTGTTCACATTTTTTTAGTAAACTAATTTTTTCATTTGTATCCAATTTATATGATAAATTAGTTTGATTGATTGTACTCTCTGCTAATTTTTTAATTGTATCACGGATATCAATTGGAGGATCATATTCTTTAAGTGGTCTTAAAAATCTGAAAAAAAATGTATAATTGAAGCTTAAAATACATTGATTTATAATAATTACAAACAAAAATGAATAGGAAATAATATTTAAAAAATATATTAGTGAAAATAACCTATGATTTACATACTCCATCTTATAATTCTTAATATGTGCATAAAAATTAAATAAACTGATATAAATTTCAAAATTTCAATTTTTGGGTTTGTGGCTGTTTCCATTGCCTCTTTCTGGTAAATATTTAACTCATCTCTACTTCCTTCCCTTTTTCACATCTTAACTTCTAGTAAAGATGTGAAACACAAGTGAAGAACTAATTATTACCAATTTCTATATTTTTATTAAGATATAATTAACTTTATAAATAGTACAATAACAATAATAATAAAAAGTAACAAACCCTCGAGATGCTATTGCACTAGTATTTGATTGTATTTGACTTCGTGGCGGAATAAATGGCAAACTTCGTTTTACTTTTTTATGATATAGCCTTATCTGAAATAAAATAAATTTATATAAAACAAAAATGTAGAACTTTTTTACATTAAATGATTTTAAATTAAAACAGGAATTATTTAATACAATACATTTACAATCTAATTTATGGGCAAAATAATTTTTTTTTAGTTTTCCAAAATGAGACTGTAGTGTTCTTGACGTCTTACATAAATAAACAATTTAATACAATTAAATTTAATTCCTACATTAGGTCATCAATTTTTTGAGAGCTTTACACAAGTACCTTGATTATCATTGGCCTTGTTATTTTTAAAAATAACAAAGTTAATATGCAAAGTTAATTACTCATATTAGTCAATTTATGACTGAAGTAATAATTCAAGTTGCTTTAATAAACAATTTTACTATGAGTAATATTGATTATAGCCAATTATTTATATTATATAGTTATAGATTATAGCCAATTGATTATGACCAAGACCTTTAAGGCTCTATGGAAGTTGGGAATTGTTTGGTCACATGGTAACAGAATTTTTCTACCATACCAAGACCGGGGGGGGAGGGTTAGTCTTTTTTTCTAGATAGGTTTCCCTGTTCACTGAGAGAGGCAAACCGTACGACTGACATTGCTGCCTTAATCCATTCGGCCACTTAGTCCCGTTACAAGGAGTATGTTCCTAATGAATTACACTCCAAAAATAATTTGTTTATCTCTTCATTATACTACATCTTGAAAAAATCTATTAAAATTCAACTGATAGTTTTAATTTTAAAAAATACTTGTAAAATGTTGAATTTATTTAAAATTATCAATTTAAATTAGCTGTTTTTTTCTTATTTATTAAATTAACCAAACAAAATTTAAGCAATATTAATTTTGCCCAAATTATATAATTACAAATTTTTTAATTCGACCTAGCCTATTATTTGACCAAGTATGTCAAAACAGATTTGTATTATGAATAATAAAATTCAAATTTGAAATAAGGACATTAGATGATTGATCGTAACACGCGTTAATTAAGGGATATTATAAAAAGTTAGTTAGGCGGCACTGCAGTTGGTCAACATAATATCTTTATCAATACGTCCACCAATTTGATAATGTTTGTTAATAATTATTAATTACATTTTTTAATGTAATGCGATTTAGATCAAAGTACTATTAGCTATACTGGAGTTAAAAGAAAAAGGAAAAGAGGCGCCGGCCTGGGCAGTAGAAATTTCAGTTTACCGGCGAAAAAACGACATTGGTACACGCGTGAAACGTACTGCGACTACCACCATAACCTTCAAAACAAACTCTTAAAAAGTCAATAATATTCTGTTGTACGCCGGGCCGATTTTTGAGAAACAATAAAGTCGTAATTACCTGCAATTGCGGATGAATTAAAGGAAGTTGGAAGTGATTTCGAATCGCCGTTCCGGACGTACGATTTAAAAGGTAGCGGGCGACCATCACGTCGGTAGCGGGTAGTGGCGGCGTATGTTTTTACCGTAGTGGCCACAATTCTGGTTACCACTGTGTTAACCATGTGACGGGTGTTGAGCCAATCGGGTGCGCGGTCCTTCGGGTTGTGCGTGCGTGAGCGAGATGCGCGAGTGTATGTGTTGGTGTGTCCGCCATTTTACGCGACTCGCCGTCGTCGAACATGAACAACAACGCAGCTCCGGGCGCCTCGGATCATGATTGTCGCGTTTCCGGCCTGTGATTATGTCCGTACGTATTAACGCAAGTCCGTCGTTCGGCCGAAATTGTTTCGCGTGTTCCGCGTCTTCGTGGTGCCCGCGGTCCGCCGGCTCCTCAACGGTGGTGTTTGTGTGACGTCCAAGACGTCGTCGTCGTCGTACCGGGCGAAATGTCCAATGAAAAATGACTCACGCCAGCCATCAGACCAACGGCGCCAGCTTGGAGGACTGTCATACCAACTTCTTTGCCCTGGTTAGTACGCTCTTACAACAATACTAGCTAAGTACCTACAGAGGGGCCACTAAAACCCTTAAGGGTAGCCTCTGCACAGGGTCCATCCCTTATCTACTGTGATACTATCGGCGGTCTGTGGGGATCCCACTAAAGCCACTACTAGTCGAGTCCCTTCGCAGTTAACTTTCAAAGTGTACACTCGATGTGGATTAGGTTTTAAATATGTCACGGCTGGTTGTTTACATTTTTGTTGTGGTCTGACTGTTAGCTTTCACCAACTAGTTGCTCAGTGTGCTGTTGGTCGAATAAACGAATCAGCCGTTGTTTCCTTGTGACTGTTATGTTTGGCTCAATTCCGAACACCAGCCAGTTTCAAAATTTTCACTCGAGCAATTTGACCTATTTACAAAACACACACTTATCAACTTCATTAACAATGTTTACGTAAACTTTTATATCGACAAATTCAAGAGTACGATATAGGCTGTATAAGTATTTCTTACATACCTATATTGCAATCCACAAAAACAAATACTGCATAATAAAATCAGTAACAATTTCTTCCTAGTTACCCTCGCATTAGAGATAGAACCATTAAAATCTGGATTTTTAACAAAAAAATATTATTCTTGCTGTATAAAGCTATATATATATATATTCTAGTTTCATATATGTACTCATTGAAATATATTTTTTTACTTAAAACATTTACAAAAAAAACTTAATAAGAACATTGATAAATTTCACACTCAACACATTTAACTTGATATATTTTTCTTTACTTCTTGTTCCTAAACAAATTTTGTTACATTTTATCTATTTAGACATTTTGAAATTTTTCAAGACCTAGAGTTTGTTGTGCCTATTGTTTTTTGGTAAATTTGGATTTTGAAAATCCCATCCCTACTTAGTTCACAGAAAATATAGCTAGCCTAACGAGGGATGCACTTACAAAGTTCCAGTATTTTTTTATCTGTATTAACTTGATTTAAACTAGACTTCAATTAAATATCGCCCATCATAATATGTAAACAAAGATAACATTTGTATCTCTATAACATAACAATACAGTAAAATTTGCAGTTATTAAAAGACAATCTATTCGTCAAATCAGTTATACAATTAAAACCTCATCATTCTATTTTCTAATTCTAAAATATATGTTAAAAAAACAAAAAATACCCATGGTCTATATTACACTATAGTATGGGAATGTTGGTTAGTCTACCTATTTGAACTTAATTATTTTTTTATGTTGGATGCAGGGGCAAATATAGGAATGAAAAAAGGAGGGCTAGAAAAAAATTAATTTTAAACACGTATAAGCTATAGTCATAGAGTTTAAATTAACATAGTAAAAAAATTCATATTTTTATAATATATTATATTATAAAAAAAATTAACATAAAAATACAGTCCGCTTTTTAAAACGTAGGTATAAGATAAATTTAGTAGTTCTCAACTGTATACAAATATAGAATAACGATGTCATTGAGTAACTGAAAATAAGTTAAAACTATTACTTTCTATCGTTTAACGGGAAATCAAAATAAATGGTTATACCTACCTGTACAGTATCGTTGATTTTAAAATATACAAATAAGCAGTGCTATGCATAAGAACGATGACTGATTTTATGTGGGATTCCTGCCATCAGCAGAGGTACCTTTGTCATAGTTTACCATCCGCCAATCGATAAACCAAGACGAGTGTACCTCTGTTGATGACGCATAAAATTGGTCTCCATTTTGTGTACACCATCACTTATCAGTATATTTAAAAATTAATGGTAATACAAAAAAATTCTTAAGATGCAGTTTGTTCATACATTTTCCTAGTATAAAAACTTCTTGTGATTGTCATTGATATACAGAATCTGTCTATAGTCTAAAAATATTTAATCATAGAATAAATATAAATTATATCATTATTACGGGTTAAACATAGTTTACCATAAATAAAATAGTTTACTTTGAACTGTTTTTGGTTGTACGATATGTCAAAAAGTATGTCTTAAGAGATTCAGTGCTAGTGGACACTGGTGTCCATTGTAAATTTAATTTGGTGATCATTAGTCTGAAACCTGATAAGTAATATTAACCTAACCTAACCAGATAGTAAGTTAAAATTATAAGTACAACATTAAAAAAACATTTAAAAAGCATCGGTGTCTGCTGTGGCGCTGAATCTGTTAAAAATAATAACTATAGTAATAATGACTTTTTTAGTATTTGCTTTAAAATAATTTTTCTTTTTCGAATAATATATCAATAAATGTACTTATCACATAATAATTACCAACTCATTTATTTATTTTTAGCTTCGATACAATATTTTTTATTGAAAATAAAACTGAAAAGAGTTTTTCTTAGAACTAAAAAATCACATATGCTTAAAAATATTTACTTTGTGTTTTAATATATTTTTTGATACAATTAATCGTAATTTCTTTTATTTAACTCACAATCAAAAACACTGACAGGCGCACTTCAATATTTTGCTCGCTCAGTTCACTTGTATGAACATAAGTGTTAATGAATGTTTATGCTTGTAACTAAATGCGCCTTTAAATAATGATAAAAAAAATTGTCTTCTATCTTTTTTACTTATAAAATTGTTTTGTTTGAAAGTTGTGACTTATATCTTAAACATAGATGTATTTTCATTCAGTGGTATTCATATGTACATCGCGTGTCTGCATAAAAGTGTTTAGTTCTGGCTCATTGTTAAAAAGCATTTTTCTACCCCTAACCTAGGGGTTACCTATAAGTGCACAAGCAGTTATAAATTATAGTTGGGACTTCTTTAAATTAAAAAAAAAAAGTTAATTCTTATGAATAACCTGGCAGTTGGTTTCAAGTGCCCGTTTTACTAATAGAGGTTCTTGTTAGTCTTTTAAAACTATCCACAACCCCTGCATTTTATGTTTTGTTACAATGACGAGGTATACACATAATACCTATACTGCCTGGGAACCTGAACGGCCGGTGATTGAGACACTATTTTAGGTTTTCAAACACATTTTTTTACCTTAACTGGCTTTTTCAGGTATAATATTGTTGCAATAGATGTCATATTAATTACATTTTTAACAAAATGACAATCTTATTACACCCAATGTTAATAGTTATTTTTTAAATAGAATTATTAAAAAATGTAAAACTAAGTTAAAATTAAAAAATTAATATAAGGAATAGTAAATCACATATCTATTAATAAAAATATAAATTCTAAAGTAAAACTTTTAAGTTAAATGATTCAATGTAATAAATGGTTACATTATAGTTTATTAGTGTTTTATTCTTATTGTATCATATCCTGTATTTTTTATTTGATTTAGAAAACAAATTTAGTCAGATTTTTTTTTTGATCTTGTCAACTTTATATATTTTATTTAATACAGAGACACAATTTATTAGGGTGTTATGTCTACTCAAAATCTTAAAACGGCTATAAATTGTATATTAAAAGTTTTTAAGATTGATATTTATTTCATACAATCAAGTATGATGTTAGGTATGTAGCTACCCCTGAAACTGCACCCATGGTTATATATTAGTAATGTATTATATTTATACCATTTTATTATTGTGTTGCTATTAGAAAGACATAATACATTTGTTTTACAATTTCTTATATGACATTGCATACCATTTACACATGTTGACTTTTTTGTTTAGCTGGCATAAAGCCCAAGGGTTACATCTATGGTTGGCTAGCCTTTTTGTTTCGGTTGTCTGGCTATTCACTCCTAACGCTACCTCAACATTTAATAACTAGCAGTATATTTGTAAAGCTTATAACAAATGTAACATTAACCAAGTGAGAATTTTTCAACTTAAAATTCTATTTTTTTTTATTTAAAAAAATAGGTATAATTTTTTTTAATAAATTAGGTAAATAATATGATTTACGTTAGCCAACCTATACAATAAATATTCTATTCACATATTTTTATCTTTGATACTCCGTCAGCTGCTGCTATCAATAATTCGTTCAGATGTTTATAATCTCAATTATTTTTGTGTTGTTAATAACTTGTTATTTCTATCAACAAACTTTTCACACGTGCGCATGTAGATAAGCGAATGTATTTCAATATTTTTTAAGATTTTTATATATGCATGTATATATATATATATTGCCTAAAAATGACAATTGAACCAATTTTAGCCTTTAAAATATCAATGCTCGACCAATAATCACTTTCTCAAATAATTCGTCATCACAAAATCGGTCGTAAAATTCGTTCATATTTGCAGAAGAGGCAATGCCCTCCTATACGCTTTTAAAACTCGTTCAGGGTTTCCCAAAAAAAACTGTTTCAATCGTCGCCGTTGTTATCCGATTTATTAAGATTTTTTTTTTGTTTGAAAACGTAGTTGAGGTGTATTTGTGTTCATCATCGGTTGAATAATATTGATTTTTTCCCCTCACTTCCGCCGTACGGATTCTCTATCGCGTGTCCGACATATATTATCACTATTTCTATAATAAATATTATTGACAAATATTTACAATATTATTGCAATACATCTCATGAGCTCTTAAACTAAACCTAGGTGTCGCCGTCTTTTGAGTTTCGGCGACATAGTTTATTTGTATTGTATACATAACATTCATAGTATTTTGACCGTAATTTCGTTATTGTTGTTGTTATTATTATTATCATTACCAATTTTATAACGCTTAACAGGTTTGTCAATATTATCGCATTGTTGTCGCTTTTCCCGGATACCCCGATCATCGCCGTCGTCTCGTTGTACACAACCTCCACACGTATTATAGTTACTACGGCCGCGACCACTACCACCGACGCTGCGCCACCACCAATTATATTAATCTCATTAGAAGTGTGTAAAATCACCGTCATTCACGTGTGCCCCTCTGCTCATTTTCCAAAGTTTATACCGTAATAGTGCCCCCCTCCCCCCTTACTACTCTAATCGCAGCGCGTCTGCCACATGGCCATCGGTTTGTTTTAATAATAGTTGCATAATATTAATAATAATTACACGATGAGAGTCGTTCTAAATTTATATTTTTTTCATCTCAAGTTCGCTGTCGTTTTTAAAAATTAGATTTAGTTTAGGGTTGTGACCTTCGTATTGTCGCCATCGTCGGTGCTCTTTCGATGGCTACAGCGATGGTGGTCTTATTGTAATATGCGGGGCACTACGGACTCGCTTTTACCACCCTTTATTTGCCGCCAAAACGGCTTTTTTTTTTTGTACGACGGGAATAATAATTCTGTCGAAACGAGTAAAGGAGAGGGTAACGAAAAATACCTGTGTCCTTGACAATGGTAATATTTGTGTTTTTAATCGTCGGGCTATCGCCGCCGCCCTTTCCGAGGTATTTATTTAATTCTTAAACCGCTACTCCGTCATCAACTGACTTAGAAAAAAGTGGCGACTGGCGGTCGTCGGTAGACCGTTAGATATTCTCGGACCGTCAAGCGTGAATATATAAATCGAACGTTAAGTGTGCCAAAAATGGGTTACATTTATAATTAGTATATTATGTATATTTATCGTTAATTTTTTTGTTTTTCGCTGACAGTCAATAGATTGGTACGGGCTATACATATAGGTGCACCTTCGCGACGGCGGTCTTGGATGTTTTTTGGGTGGTGGGTTAAAGGGGAGGGAAGCCAAGTTGGTGCCACCCCGACGGCGTCAGCGCGTTTATCGTAGCCGCTTACTCGTATGTTTATTATTTCTATATGTATATAATGCGGTGTTATACACGTTCCCTCGTATTACACCGGCAGATGTTCTTTTCGGTTCGACGAGGCTGCCATCGTGCGGACACCATGGGAAAACGCCGCGATGGCAGATATAACGGTGGGCGGACGGGGGGCGACGTTGCCGCGTTCGGTCACGGTCGGCGATCGTCTTGCGCAAAAATCCGACCGGCACCGACCTCTTTCACTTCGGCCGGTGTCGTTACGCCGTAGGATTTACATGCAGTTTCTTTTGATCGTATTGTTGTGTCGTGGCTTTGGTGGTGGGGATCCCCGACACCTCTGTAATTCCGCGTACCGTAACAACCGGACGCGTGCAGTGGTTATCAAAAAATTGGAATACTTTATAATAAACAGACCGGACTTGTCTTTCTCCGTAACACTGTAAACGTTTCCACTTATTTTTGTTTATTTGGTATTAGTTGTAAATATAATATGATTGGTATACAAAATATGAAAACAACGTTGGGTTACACGAACCGTATTTAAATTGAGTAAGGGAGGTAGTGAGGTGGTAAACGAGGTCACAACTTTTTTATTTCTTGTATAATGCGCTCGCCCTTTTTTTTATACAGTGATATCGTTGGGTATGGAGTTTACATTTTTAGTTTTTATAATACTAAATATATACGGCTAATACAAAATAACGCATTCCTTCAATCCTTTTATATAATATATGTATATATATTTTTTTTTTATGTAATCGGTCGTGTTTTCCCATAAGGGGAGCGTAGACGACCTTAAAGTAGTATCCATCTCCGTGGGTGACCGTATGTGGGTGGAGGAATAATCGGCGGCACATCATTCAGGTTATTAACACCGGCCGGCAGTTGCCACCGCCCGCCCTCTTGCTCTTACCATAGCCGCCTAGGGTAACGGTGTCTTCTTCCCGTGCACTTCTGGAACAACTCGTTTGCTTCAAACCTTCTCGGATATCTAGAACTTTCATTCATACACTATGATGGGAGTTGTAATATTATTTACCTACCCGGTCTCTTTTTGTGTTTTGAATTACTCAGACTATAAACACTCGATGAATTTGTAAACAGCCTATTTTGTGTGTATATTTTCATTTTGAGTCTATGCGCTTAATAGTTTATATTATATTACACATATAATATTTAGTCAGTCCATAATCAAGCATTTTTTTTATATAAAATTAGCGCTCGATTGATTATAAAAATAAGATTTTCCAATCGAAAAGAAGGTATATTAGTAGGGATGGTGTTGTCGCCTGTGTTCCACACTAGTGTATTTTGTGTTTGCGCGCGCCCCCATTTTGGCACCCACTGGAATGCGTGGAAACGCACGTTGTTATGGTATATGCCGCGGTGTCCATAACAGACCACTAGTGGCCTCTACTTAACGGTAAGCACACGATAATATAATTGATCTTCTGGTCAATTGGCGGGACCGCGATTATCTATGCTTGCTGCATCGCGCGCTCTATTTACAAAACACATTTAATATCCGTCTAGTTGATGGTAGTGCTTTGTACTCAGAATTTGGAATAAGGTAATCACACTGTGTCCCATTGTAGTACCACTGGAGTTCCGTTAAGCACAGAGGTATGTCGGCGTGACGCCACAGGGTCGCCTCGACCACCGGCGGCAGCGGTGGCGGCGGCGGATATTGATTTCGCCCAACACGCGGTGGTGGCGGTGGCCGGCGGTGTAGGTCCATTGGGAAGACAAGGATGCATAGTCGATAACACACCCCTCTTGTCCACACGCGACCACATTCATTTTCGTTTTCACCACAAAAATACACTCCCTCGTACATTGTCAATATATTATATAATTAGATATTGATGTATAATGACCGGGTCGAAATTTTTCTTTGCTAGTGGTACTCGTTTCTTGTTTTAACCACATCAATTAACATATTTTCCTATTATTTAGACGGTGCTACTGCACGTTCATCCTTATCATTGTCCCTTTCGAATTATAAAACCCAACTATAAGCATGCACTTTCTGGTTGAATTAACCACCACCATGTCCTTAAACTACCGAGGCCACAATATTGAGTTGATTAGACTCCTCCACTCGGCTCCCAAATAAAACGAGGTTGTTGTTTTATGCTCATACCAAGTAAATGTTTCGTATTATGCCAAAAATTTAAGTCCTAAAGGGTCTATATCAGGGCTTTGAACCAGAATGATTTATTTGGGTTAGGGTTATTATTTATTCGGGTTATAAATACCTATTGATTATGGTTACGGTAATATTCTTTTTTAGGTTTTAGGTATTTCTGGTATCATTTGAGATAATATTATATTTAAGCTTTGACGAAGAAATTTCTACAGACACCTACAACATTAAACTTAAGATATTATGTCCTTACATGTAACACTATCCATTATCAGACAAATGGGTTTATTTTGTTATTTTTTATCTGATTTTTTCATCTTGTTTTTAAACTTCAGCCCTTATATTTTGTTTATTAATAACAACTGTCTTGTTCATTGTCAGTAAAATAGAATTAATTATTTAATGAAACCTATAATAACAAAATGAGTACAAGCTTCCAGTAATAATTCTTCTGGAGTCAATTAGATTTGTGTTGTTTATTTTAATGCATTTACATTCAGTTAATATTGACTGTATACTATATATTTTTTTTTTTTTAATTATAAAATAGGTACTGATATTTCTTAAAAAAACTCTGTTTGATTAAGATTTTTTAAAGATTTATAATTCCTCAGTGTATATTGCTGAAACACCTTATGTGTTTAAACTAAAAATGACAATATTTTATACTTTTTTCGTTTTTATTATTATTAAATATGTATTTATATATATATGTAGACTTAACAACGAGTTAAGTTTCCTTTTTTATGTGCAAATATGCGGAGGGATGGTTAGGTAGGTCCTTTTATTAATGCTCACTCATATCCTCCTAACATTTATTTATTTATTTTGACTTACTTTCATAATAAGGTAAACACATTTTTTAAACATTTAGGTATTTCATACAATGACATGTTTTATAGGGTACAACAATTAGTATTATAAAAATTACTTTAAAAAAAAAATATATAATAATGACATTCACCTTTTTATCGTTAAAAATTTAGACTGTAATTTAGCAACTATGATATGTATTAATTTATTGTTTTTTTATTTGTTTACTATAGACTGACCTGTGCGGTATAAAATGGCGTAAATTTGTACACTGCTCAGCTGGTCCAGAAGGACCTCCTGACTGGGGAGGCGGACCTGGTAGTGGAAACAATACCTGTGGTTCTGTACTTGAGGACCCGGTACTATCCAGCTATACGCGATGTTTAACCAACGATATGCTAGCTGTTTGGAGACGGGTCTCACTTCCACAAGGCAACTCTCAACAAACATCGCTTGACCCTTTGGTTCCTACGCCACCAACTCCATTACCTGCACTCCCACCTGCACTTTCTTTGAAAGCTTCCAAAGAGTTGTGGATATTTTGGTATGGTGAAGAACCCGATCTGACTGGACTAGTTTCTCAACAGCTCTTACATAATGGTATAAAGACATATTTGTGTATAAATATATTTATCTAAATTTATTTATAATAATCATATTTTTAGAAGGAGATAATGGATCATGGGAAAGTGGTTTGTCTTATGAATGCCGTTCTCTTTTATTCAAAGCCCTCCACAACTTAATTGAAAGGTAAATATAAAAAAAGTATTATTCATTTATAAATATTTGTGTTTATATTGTTATTCTTACTGTAATATTAATTTTATTATATTATTTTAGATGTTTACTATCTAGAGATTTTGTGCGGCTGGGGAAATGGTTTGTGCAACCTTATTCATCATCTGAAAAATTAGATGACTCTTGGTAATCATCATAGATGAAGTCTTTTTTTTTTCTATTGGTTTCAATGTTAGTAATATTATTTTATGTTATTTTTAGTTCAAGTCACTTATCATTTTCTTTCGCATTTTTCGTCCATGGCGAAAGTACGGTTTGTGCTAGCATTGATGTAAGGCAACATTCGGTTGTTCGTACATTATCAAAAGAACATTTAACACAAGCTTCATGTCAGTCTCCTAATGGAACAAATATTCAAGGTATGTTTTATCGGTTTGTTAATTTAATAGTAGAAAATAATAATTTATATAAAAAATAATTTACACAGTAATGCTTGCACCATTCGGCCTTGCGGGATCACTGACTGGCCATGTATTTAAAAATATGGATGCCGAAACCAGTCGTATGATGGATGAATGGAGTCATTTTTACCCCGTTGTGAACAATAATGGTCCAAATGAATTACCTTCTGTTGTAGAAGTGTTAGTTGGTAAGTTTTCCAATTTTCTCAAATAATATTGTTTTAGATAAGTATGAAATATTTTTAAATTAATAGGTACTTTATTTTAATTATTAACATAAATATGTTTATGGCTGGGGGTTTGTCAAAAATTTGCGTCACACCACACATATCATAAGTTTGATTTAACATCTAGCTTAACCTAACCTGGATTTGTGACACCAAGAGTGGTAGAGAAGAATAAAAGTTAGGGGGGAATTTGAGTGAAGGAGAAAAGTTAATACGGAAAAGGAAGGGAAGGGTAAGATAAGGGAGAGGAAAGGGAAAATGTGACAAAGAGAAGGTGGGTAATGGTGGAAAAAAGAAGTGAGGAGAGGAGGCAAGCACCATGAATATAAACATTAAAATTACAATAAAAATACCATAAAACATATTCATGATCCAATGTTTTTACTTCGAGGGAAAAACTAATTTTATTTATTATCATTTGTTTTTAGGCGGGGTCAAAATGAGATATCCTTCGTGTTATGTATTAGTTACTGATTTAGATGACAGCACTGCTGAATTACATAAAAATCCTAATACACATCAAACAACATCTCAACAACAACGTAATAATATTAATTTTGTTATAAATTTTACTTCTCAGTATATTGCTATGTATAATATGTGTTAATAATTTGATACTTTAGCATCAATTAAAACACAACTATTGCCTCCTAAACATCAACATCATCCCAACACAATGGTTTATGCTTTGGATAATACAACAACAGCAATACCTGAAAGGACATGGCAAGATTGTGTTCTTGGGCCACTACATACTGAACAAAACCCGCCGTCCAGACCAGGGTCCCCAACTTTAGGCCAATGGCATTTGTCTGATCCATTACAAAAACTCACGTGTTCCTGTACAAGGTAAGATTTGTTATTGTGTATGAAAATGTTTAAGTGTGGCGTGTGTGTTTTTGGGCGCTTTGGAAGTCGATCGGCATTTGTTATCCGGCCGGCTGTTTACAGGTGTAGAAAAACAAGTTCCAAGCACCAGCCACAGCCAATCGGCACAACGTTCCATAGACGCACTCCCCTCCCTGATAGTTGCGTCATTCAGCAGCTGCCACCCGATGCAAACAATGCCACCCTCAGGTTTGTGTCTATAAATGAGACGCTTGGGTGGTGATGTGATGTTACTAAAATTACCTATAGTGTAAAGGTTTATGTTAAGAACTAACCTTTAACTGTAAAAGTTTTAAGAAATTAAAAATTATTTTCGTTCTTTATTAGTTTAAGTGTTAAGGAATAGAATACTGATTAATATTAATTTTCACTAAAATACTTCACTTAAAAAAATAATTTGTGTAGAGTAATAATAAGTATAATATACATATTTTAAAATATGGGTGTTTTATTAAAACGTATCTTTGAATATTTGAATAAATTCAAGAGTGATCTCAAAAGTTTGTAGAGAATTAATTTGAGGATTACTTAGAAGATACCGAATAAAACACTATGTTTTTTAAAAATACCAGTTAGAATTTAAAAATTGTTTGAAGACTTAAGAGTAGCCTATAAATATTGTAAATCATAAACTTAAAACAAAATTGTAAATATTGATTCATCTCAAAAATTTTGTTAAATCAAACAAGTGGCTTATTAACAGAATGTTTTTTTAAATTCTAATGTTTCATTAATTGTTATCATATAAGCATTATTAGTTATATTGTAACAATTTGGTTATATGATGACATCTTTGGCATGCAATGGTGGTGGTGTTGGATGTTGATTTATTTTTAAGATATTGCATGAACCATTATATTTTTATTTAATCAAATGGGGTTTATCCTCGTATTCTTTTTTTAAATTTACACATTAATATGGTTTTTAAATTATAATGTATATTAATTGTTGTCATTTATGTCTATTTTTTAGGTCTACAAGAGTTGGCCCCCCAGATAGTCCTTGTGGCCTTGACTCTGTTCCACCTTTGTCTTCGGTACCAACTCCTCCATCTGCTGGTCAACCAGCTCCATTATCCATTCCTCCGCCAACGTTGAGCCCACATGATGAAAAAATTCCAATTACTCCATCATCAGTTGACTTCCAGCCTAAGTCTGTGTCATCGGTTACTAATCAAGTTTTCTCACCATATCCAACTTCAGCTCCTGCTAGTCAAGAGCCAAATAAATCTGGACGAGAAAGCAATGCCGGTACTCCTGCTCCAGTAAGCAGTGTCGTAAGTGTTCCAGCAACTACACCAACAGCAACTTTAACACCAGTTCCTCAGTCGCAAGCTCAGAGTTTAAGTACCTATATAACTCTGAAGCGGCCACAGCTTTTATCGAAAGATTATGAGGCAAACCTAGTTGAAGATGAACTTATGCCGTCCAAACTGTTGTATGATTACTCTACCATGGATGCTTGGTTGTACCATCCAGTGAAGAAATTTAAACCAACAATCCCAAAAGATGAACCAGTCTCAAGGATAAATAATTGTATAGAAAATCCTGCCTCTCCTCCACAAGTTTACATTAGAAGAGACACCAGTTTACCTATTCTTCCAGTAATTCTAATAATATGATATTTTGTTTAAAATATGTATGTACTAAAATTTTAATTTTCGTAATGTCTTTATTTTATTTCCTAATAAGGTGGAACCAACAGAAAATGACACGACACATTTTGGCAGTTTTGAAGATATGAAAAATAATGCTTTAAGGTTTAAAAGTGGTCGATCAGACCCCTACGACTTTGATGAGGAGAGTGGTGCTCATTCTAGCAACAATGTGATGGCTGTAAATGATTATAATAAACATAGTACTTCCATGATAAAGGTAATATCATTTATCTAAACACATTTCTACAAATTTTTTTACTTAAATTAAGTTTAAAAAAATGTATGATGTCATTAAGGGTGATAGTAAAATAAAATGAAAAACAATTTTATGCTTGGTGATGATGTGTACAAATGTTTCAAGTGTTGATTAATTGAAAAATTTTAGTTAAATGTGTTAAATTACTAGTCTAGTTAGAAATTATTAAGATGGCAGCTTAGAGAAAGAAGTATAAAATGATTATTGTAGAATTTATGTTCTAACATGTAATGACACTAATATTAATATTTTTGGGCTTTAATATTATAGCAAGAAGATGTTAAAAAAGAATATGATTCTACATTAATGAATGGTAACCGATGTACTGGGGATAGTATGAGAGACCTCGATCATATGTTTGATACTTCTGATGATTTGTCTAGTGATGAAGCTGTAGCAGCTGTAAGTATTCAGTTACATACAATTAATTTATTATTATATTTCATCATACCGTTATTTAAACAGTTGCAAATGCAAACACCTCCTGGTTCCAATAAACCTGATGATTGTATCGGTAGCGGCTTGACAACACTTTTAGTGAGGCCACCTCGAGGTAGTGGAGGAGGAACTGGTGGTGGCGGTGTTTTGAGGCCTGAGGAGTTAGTCAAAATGTTTCCAACACCTCCATCATTAGAACATAATCCAATAGCATCTCCATGTCCTGACATAGATCTGCTTCCTCCTCGTAACTACCAGAATTCGTACATGGGGAGTCCTCAACACGATCACATAGATGTAAGTGTGTATTTTTATTATATATTTTAAGCAGTGAAATAAATAAATACATTTTATTTTTAGGATTGGTCATATGTTTACAAACCGCCAGCCATAGCCAAGATGGTTGGTTCTTCAAAATATGCACCACTCACAAATCTTCCAAGCCAAAATTTACCACCATTAGTACTTCCTTCCAATTGTGTGTATAAACCTTCTTCATTTGTTTATCATTCATCACACCCTTCACAAATTCAACATCATACACCTCAACCTGAAAAACCAACACAGTAAGTACTGAAAGTATTTAAACCGACAATCCTTGAATGTACTAGATTTACTACATTATAATATGAGTTTGGAAAACAAGATATATATTTATTTATGAACACAACTCCAAAAAAAAAAAGATTTTCCATTTCTAATTCGTTCCTGAAGTATCATCTGTGTATTCTTAATTTGTTCCTCAAAGGTTTAAATGTTATTACCTTATTTATGGATGAATATAAATGGATTAATGGATCTATTTTAATTTTAGAATGGTGCCGCCACCAGCATCTTCAGCTAATAACAACTTGGTGCCTAATATGAATCGTAATAGTCATTACCATCATCCGATGATGATGAGTCCATCTCCTCATAGCACACCCTGGCCTGGTGGAGGGAATCAATATCATCATAGACCTCCGTCGCAGCAAATGCAACACCAACAAGTGCCTCCACCCCCATATAGTCCAGCTATTTCTCAACATCACAACATGAATGTTACATCAGCTAGCATGTCACCACCTGTGCCTGAAGCAAACTCTATAGTGGTGATTGTTTTATTAACTGACTCATTATTAAATGTCTTCCGGGATCACAACTTTGACAGTTGCACATTGTGTGTGTGTAATGCTGGTCCAAAAGTAGTTGGCAATATCAGGGGTACTGATGCTGCAGTTTATCTTACTCACACTTTGACACCAAATGGTTATTCATCTCAATATCAACAGCATCATATGTCTGTTGGAATGCCTGGTAACTAACAAACATTATATTTGTATACATGAAATGTTTAATTTGTTTTTATTTTGTATAGGCGACGAAGATGGAATACGATGTAGTTGTGGTTTTAGTGCTGTAGTCAATCGCCGTCTCTCTCATAAATCTGGACTATTTCCAGAAGATGAAGCTGAAATAACTGGTCTAGTTGAAGATATCCCAGTACGTGTTGATGAAAATTCCATGAATCCTGAAGTTTTAGAGTTAGTGAGGGAACAATGTGCAGCTGTAGTTTATAGTCCGTGCAATTCGCTAGTAAGAGCGGCAGCAAAATATCCTATATGTAATCCACCACAGACAACATTAGTTAATATGTTAGAATTCACCGACACGAATCAAGTTGCTTTATTAGCTCTTGAACAAGGAAGATTAGCAAAAGTTAGTGTACACATAACTTTGATTTATTTATGTTATCATACCGTTTTAATGTTATTATTATTTATTAATGTTATTAAACATCTTTTTTTTTTTCCCCCTAGTTGGAAGGTGGAATGAATAACCATTGGCAAGTTGAGCATCATCGTTGGCCAGGTCATCACCAACAACCATTGCCACCTTTAAATAATAACTCACCACCTGTTCATAAATGGGCTTATAGTCAAGCATCCGGACCACGTAATAGTAGACAACTCATACGGGTTATGAGAACCTTACAGCCAATTTTGCAGGAAGCTATTCAAAAGAGAAGTGTAGCGTCACGACTGTGGGAGCCTTATACAGTAACTGGACCTTTAACATGGCGTCAATTCCATCGATTAGCTGGCCGAGGTACTGAAGATAGATGTGAACCACAACCAATTCCTCCAATACTTGTTGGACATGATAAGGATTGGCTGGCCGTTGCGCCTTTAGCTCTTCACTATTGGGATAAATTATTACTAGAACCTTTTTCTTATTCCCGAGACGTGGCGTACATAGTGGTCAGTCCAGACAACGAATTTATTTTGCAAAAAACAAGATCTTTCTTTAAGGAACTAAGTGCAGCTTATGAAATTAATCGATTAGGTCGCCATTGTCCAATTACCAAAGTGTTACGAGATGGCATTCTTAGAGTTGGTAAATCAGCTGCTGCTAAGCTTGCTAAAGAGCCTGTGGATGAATGGTTTACAATGCTAGGTGAAAATCACCAATCATCAATGTTGAAACTATATGCCCAAGTTTGTCGTCATTATTTAGCACCACAACTATCTCAATTTTCCATGGATAAAACTTTATTAGATCCACCTGAAGGTATCAGTGTACCAAGACCTCCACCTTCACCAATGCCTCCACCAGCATCAATGACTCCCAACTCGGCTGAATCACCTTTATCTACTGATCGTGCTCCCACGCCAAAAAGTGAAGGAGCAGATGAATCATGTTCTGGATCTCAAGCCGATAAAAGTTTTAACAGTAGTGGGGATAATAGCCATTGTGACGATGATGAAAGTGAAGTGCCAGCTATTGTTATTTATCTCGTTGAACCATTTTCTATTGGCAAAGACAGTAGTAATCTAGCAAGAATCGCCTGTCATGGTCTTCTACGATGTTATAATACTGTATTAGCAACATTACCAGAGGCTATTCGCTCAAATATATCTGTTCAGGTAATTATTTTTTATATATTTTAGCAGTTCTATTGTTTTTTTATATACATAATGTTCAATTTAATTTTTTTTTTTCAGTTAATATCTTTGGAAAGTGTACTCGAACTTGGTCGATCTTCAGATCATTTAAAAATGAGTGATAACATGAAAACTTTGGCTTTGTCTGTGTTTAGCCAATGTAGACGTTTCTTAACCCATACATCCAATATTAAAGCTCTTACTGGATTTGGTACAGCAGCCATGACTGAACTGTTTTTAAAGAATAAAGATGTTAGTATTGGTTTTTTTAATTTATGTATAGTAATAAACTAAATACAATTTTTCATATAATTTTACAGGAAAAAAATCGAACCGCTTATAAAGCATACACTCCGCCATTTATTTTAGCTGGTTATAGGAATAACAAAACTGGTAGGGCGGATAGTAGTATAGCTGGAGATAATAGTGCTGGTGGTGATAGTTTGTCAATCCTCGGTGGACCTAATGGAAATGGAACACCTTCAGGAACTGATCAACAGTGTTCAGTGCTTTATGCTAGTTATTGTATATCTGAGGACCAAAGATGGATATTAGCAACAGCAACGGATGAACAGGGCATTTTGTTAGAGACTGCTACAATAAATATATATGTACCCAATAGGTAATATTATATGTTTTCATTTTGAGTATCTGGTTGTTAAATATTGTTTGTTATTATGAATACTATTAAATAACATTTTTTATTTTTTAACAGAAGTAGGCGGAGAAAATCTCCAGCTCGAAGAATTGGATTACAAAAATTAATGGAGTTTATTTTGGGTGTTATGAGTCAAAGTGTAACACCTTGGCGTTTAGTTGTAGGACGAGTTGGTAGAATTGGTCATGGCGAACTTAAAGGTAATTTAATTATATATTAAAATTAATCAATTACATTTGTTTAACTAATGTTTGTATAAATTAGGCTGGTCTTGGTTATTGAGTCGTAAAGCTTTATTGAAGGCCTCACGCCACTTAAAAGAATCGTGTGGCCAGTGTAGTCTTTTATATCAGAAATCTGATGTACCATCCGTAGTAAGTGCTTGTTTGGTTTCTTTGGAACCCGACTCTTCTCTGAGATTAATGCCTGATCAGTTCACACCCGATGAACGCTTCAGCCAAGCATCGGTTGCTTGTCAACTATCTACACCTAGAGATGTTTCAGCCACTCACATATTAGTATTTCCAACATCGGCAACAACCCAGGTATTTCTATTTATTACTTTGTTAATTATACATTGATTACAATGAATGTTACATTTATGTTATAGTCATCACAAACTGCCTTCCAAGAACAACAAATCAATGGCCCAGAACTCAAAGATGACGAATTGTTTAGTGCATTTAATGAAGAAGATATGCCTGAGGGCATGGAAGATATGGGTGACTTTAATGATATATTCACCACGTGGAATGACAGTGACGCAGTTGGAAACACAAGCTTGGGTCTTCCTAGTGGTGGAGTATCTGGTGGCTTAGGCGGACCAAGTGGAAACGTAATGGGAGGTGGAATGGGTTCTGGATCATTAGGTGGGTCGATGGGAATGGGACGAGGATTGATGGGAGCTAGAGGTGATTGTTCTTCTCAACCCGGTAGTCCACCATCTTCACAACCTTGCAGTCCTTTCAATTGTGGTTCATCATACAGGGTAAGACAAACTAAAATAGCTGTTGTTCGTTTGATGTTATTTTAGTTACAATTTTTTTTTGTAGAATGGAGGTAGTTGTTTGGACAGTCATGAAGAAGTTGGAGCATTACTTCAACAACCGTTAGCTCTGGGATATTTAGTGTCAACTGCACCAACTGGTCGGATGCCTTCATGGTTCTGGGCATCGTGTGCACCAGATATTGAAAAATGCAGTCCAGCATTCCTGAAAAGTGCATTACACATGCATACTGTACAGCTGCCAAACAATGCAGACCCAGCTGCTGCAGATCTTCTGCATCCAACATCTGCAGTTTCAGCTCATCCTCTAGATTCTCAATACACCACAGATGTCTTAAGGTAATTTCAAAAATAAGGTTGCTATTTATGATATAATTTTTTTAATAATCTGATTAATGTGTTTTGTTAAAGATATGTTTTGGAAGGTTACAATGCATTATCCTGGCTATCTTTAGATTCAAACACACGTGATCGAATGTCATGTTTGCCAATTCACATGCAAGTGCTAATGCAGCTGTACCATACTATGAATGCACTTATATGACGTTAACATATTTTTTCTGAATTAACTTAGCTAATTTTCGCCAAACGTTTCCTTTATAATTTCATCTAATTTTTAGATCAATAAGGTGATATTTTCTTATGTACATTTTTAGCTTTATTTGAAAACCAAAATAATTATAAATAACTGGACACTTTTTTTTAGTTTAGACAAAACTAAAATAAATCGCATAATAAACAGTAGGTACCAATGGTTAGAAAATTTTTTAGGGCAATTTTATTTTATTACAGTATGTTATAGGTAAATTGTGAATGTAATTAATAATAATATTATTCTTGATACATTTAAAAAAAAATTTAATGACAATTTATGTTCAAGTTGTCAAGGAACGAGTTACCATAAAATATTGTGTCGTTTTAATGGTTGTTCATATTATTTAAGTTTATTCTTTTTGTATAATATAATTTATTTCACCTTTTTTATCATTTTAAATTATTATAAATTTTTTTAGTAAATGTCAATTTTAGTCACATTGATTTGTGACTGTTGTTGTTTAATGTCTGGCTTTATAATTTTTGAGCTTTTTATTTACCTTCCCCCTTCCCGATTTAATCGGGCTACTTGTATATGTATATTTATAAACATATTTTGGTTTATTATCGTTCATAATTATTATTATTATTATTATTATTATTATTATCATAAATAAAGTGTACATTTGTACACATACATAATTATGTATAAATATATTTTATTAACTATACATGTAAAAATATTAATTAATTATCTTGACCAAAAAAAAAGTTTTAATTTTTAAAAATCCTGTGTAGCCAATTCGAACAAATTATATATTTATTGGATCTAAAGTCAATACATTAACTTTTTCGAATAATTATAATAATAATAATGCAATTAATTAATATAATTATATAAATATAATTTTTTTCGTTTTGTACAGTTTTAGTAGAATGTAAAAATGTAATATTAATTGTTTATTAATATTACAATGAAATATTGTAATACACATATTAAATATTGTACAAAACAACAATGGAATACAGGCGGTTTTTAATGATATTATTGTGAATATTTATGATATATGAAAAATAATAATAACTTGTACGCAGGCAATGTTAATGTTATTCCATTAAAACGTTAAAAAAATAAAATGAGTTTTTTATTGTAATCCTTTTGTTTCTTAGCTATACATGCAAAATACTAACAAATAGTTACTTAATTGAATTGATCATTTAAACAACGACATTAGTCAACTATTTTTGAGTTTACAATAAGGACTGTCAATTATAAAACATGTAGTTATAATATTCCTTGTAAAAACTACATATTTTGGTTATGAGCCTCCAAATTATACAGCTGAACCGTAGCTGGTATCTGCTTACTTAATTATTAATAATTAAAATTAAAAATGTCTAAAAGGAGTAGTAGGGGAAGTGTTACTAAAAAAAGAAGTTACATATAACGGGAATGTTGTACTATCATCTGATAATGATGTCGAAAAAGTCAATTTCTTCACAAATTGACTATTAGTACATAATTGCTTGATAAATGCTAATGAATATAAACAAATACGTATTTCGACAATTAAGTTGCCACCATCGGCCGACTATGTGTTAATAATAATTTAAATAATATAATATAACGCATGTGTAATACTTGAATTTCCCGCTAGTTATCAACCAATAAACAAATATTTTGCTAACGCCATCTATGAACATATCGTTTTGCGTCCATTCATCAATTTCGCTGCGCCCATTTCATAAAATAGCTGCTAACAGCTAATTATTTACATGACGTGGAGTGTGAACTATACCTACTACTTATGTATTATTGAATCTATTTTCGAGTTTTTAAAGTTGAAACTTAGTATAGTATCAACTATCATGTTTAAACGTAACTTCACAAACCTATAACCTACAGCAGCGCTAGTGGTGTATTCCGTAAATGTTTTGCCTAATTAAGCGGGCAACTGATAACGATGTAGTTGACCGATCTTATCTTCTAAGGCCGTTCTGAAAATAATAATAATAACAATAACTATTGTAGTAACTACAATATCTAAGTAGTATTTATTATTTAACACTAATGACTAAAATAATAACATTAAAAATGTATAGTTTATCAATATTTGCGAAACCAAATGTTTTTTAGCTTGACCGTTTATTTCTAATATAACAATAGTTTCTCCATATTTAAACACTGAATTATTACATATTATAAATGTATTTCTTTGAATTTTAACAGATTTTTAATTCTCCAATACATATTTATTAATTAAACACATTAAGTACATAACTCGCTAATTTCTAACTGACTATGTTTTTATCAGAGGGTGTCATAAAAAAAGACTCTGATCACAATACTAGTACTACATATTACTGTCCTGTATTAGGTTGCAAGTATAGTATTAATGGTGGTGGACGTTCATCCAAATACTTCAAAACTCAAAAACTCTTAAAACAAGTAAGTTGGGTTTACTTTACAACATATTGTTATTTAAATTTACTTACTTATCTTAATTGCAGCACTGTATAAAGGTACATTCTGATAAAAAATTCAAATGTGATAATTGCGAAAAAGGTTTTCCATTAGAGTCTACTCTAAAATCACATCGTATAACTTGTGGTGTAGTATATTCATGTTATTGTGGAGTTCAGTACAAATCACCTGAAGCTTTTCTTACACACACAAAACGAAAACAACATGACATAGGACTAGGATATTCAACTATAATGAAGTATTAGAACTTAGTAATATTATAAGAATATTTAGTATGCATAACACAATCTATGTTTTATAGGCTTTTAAAGTCAAGAAAACTATTTCCAAGTTCAGAAGACAAATTAAAGGAATCTACTAAGAAGTCAGCTCATACTCAAACGGTGACAGATGTTCAGACTTTATCAGACTCATCGACTCAGACCAATTTTGATAGTAAGGACTGGTTGTTAAGATACAACGATCCAAAACTGTCATCAGCAACATCTAGTCCTGTTAAGCGATTGTGTGCTCAAACACAAACAGATCCACAGGGTGGATGTACAAAGATTGAATCTGATCCTATGTTCTTAGATTCAGAAACCCAAACTAATTTTGACTGTTTAGATATTTACACACAGACCGCTGAATCTGAATGTTTATTTGGAGATCTAGAGTTTACTAATATTCAAACGCAAACCTGTTTTAGTTCTTTATTCAGTGGGAACACAGCAGATACTAATGGTATTCAAAATGAATGTATTTAATAATTTATACTAATTAAAATTATAAATAAAATAAATACACTATATACATGTTTGATAAGATTAGGTAATTACATGTGTATCTACTTGTTTAGGTGTAAGCTAAAATTTGTATTCCATTCCATAACACATCTTCATAGATCTAATAATAATTTTCTTCATAACTTTACATCTTTTAATAATATATTCATATTTTTTAACGATCTACCTAATAATTAAGGAACAATTTAATTATAGATAAAATCTAAGAAAGAAAAATATAATTAGGTATATTTTATTTAGAATAAATGTATAAAATAGTGTGTATGGTTATGAGATATTTGTATTTATTTATTATCTATACTCTATAGTATGTACTGCATCTTTTGAAATGTATAAAATAGTGTGTATGGTTGTAAGATATATTCATTTATTTATTATCTATAGTATATACTACAACACTGATTATATATATATATATATTTTTATAATTGACTCGCAAATACTTATGTTCAATGTTCATTAAGTAATTTTTATTTATTATTCAATCATTCATTACTATATAGGTGTATTATGAATCTCTTAGATATTAGCATTTCACATCTAGAAAAATAATTTTTAAATATTTAGGTACATTTTTTATAATAATTGTTTTAAGTATATAATGTAACATCTTAAATGTAGGTAAAGGATTTAATTACAATAGTTAAGCTAATAATTATGTATTTGAAAATAATAATAATATATTTAATAATAATAATTTGTATATAAATTAAGTTTTTCTATATATAAATAATATTATGCAGTGTGGATCACAAGTTGATAGATTTATTTATATTTTGCATACAAATCCTTATGTCCCACGTTGTATAATGATATATTTGTTTTTAAGGCATATTATAATAGATCGTTACTTAGTATACTTTGGGTAGTAATCACTGTCTTACTATTTTGCATATTAAACAAAGTTTGCAATATTTGAAAAATAATGAAATTCTATAAATATTATATAATAGGTAATAATTGTTTATACAGCCGTGGACATATTTTGGCATCTAGCTAATATAGGTAGAGATTACATTAATATGGATAATGTAGTACAATTGTTATGAATTAAGAAAGTAAAATATAATATAGAAAGGCTAATAAAAACTAATAGAAAGAAGAATATAATATGAAATGTTCAACGTAGAATTTATTTTTAAAAATATAGGTATACAATTTTTAAAGCTCTTTGGCATCAAGACTAGTTGAATATTACAGATATCATTAATTTTTATATTAATATAGGTACACCGTACATGTTATTTTACACTAAAGCAATGCTTTTACCATACCCTATGGAAAATAAGCTCTTCGCTTAACTGTTTTACTTTCGTACAACTTTTTAAATACTATATATAGGTGTTAATAAACAAATAGGGATGATTTTAAATGAATACTAAGACAAAAAATGTTTCCATTCACTAACTACGTTATATACTCTTTTAATTATTACTTGTCAAAAAGTATTGAATAATTATCTAGAATAATTTTTTGAATAACTTTTAACAAAAATACCTAAGAAAATTTTGTTGATAATAAAAACTAATATGTAAACTTTTGTTTACATCTGTTTTAGATTTCGTAGATTATTATTTCGTTGGTCTAAAACGTGGTATGGATTGGAGTCTATTCTATTAATCAGTACTATGTTTTCTATGTCTAAATTACGTTTTTTTATCTAATTACAATTGGGCTTTTAGGGGTTGTAAGAGTAAAAACCTCGCAAGTGAAGTTTTCCAAGATTTGTAGTTAATTAGCAGCTTACTAGTTTTTATGTAAAGTTGACTAGAAAAAAAAAAGCCTTTGACATGCGTGCAATATATAAGTATATAAAGTAATAAAATATTTTTGCTTATGGGTAAGTTGTTACGCTAATTATGCAATATATTACTACTGTTAATCATAAAGTGTGTGGATTTTTTTCTAAATGTATTAAACTCAATTCAACAACCCCTTAATCTCATAATCCCATCAAAATAATTATTACCTAGGTACATCAAAAATATTACTCATTTTTTACTTACAATATTTAATTAAAGTTTGGTGTTAAAATTTGTTTGGAAGTAATACATGAAATAATTATTTATTAAAAAATTAGTCTTTTGGCACAAAGGTACCTTTGTGTATAGGTATACCTATTATTTTTATTTCCGTGTATGTAATATAATATTACTATTTACTAATATTATATTATGTATGCTTATATATACATAGATTATTATTTTTTAATTGTAAAACGAATTTATTATATTATAATAATGTATAGTTTTGATGTAGCTATAACAATAAAAATAAAGTAATTTGACTTAATTGAAATTGGATAACATAATATTATATGCACTTATTATTGATTATAAAACATTTATAACGAATCATCCGACTCTTTCTGGAGGGCTAATTGTAATTGTTGGTGGATGTCTATTTCATCTGCGTCGGTTCCTTCTGGGTCTTTAAAAGGATTAAATTCGCCTCTCATATCGCATATGATTTTTGTCAAGGCTATAATGTAGTTTTTTGCTAAAGTCAAAGTCTCGATTTTCGACAGCCTTCTGTCTTTTTTCACGTGTGGTATAACTTCTCGAAGTGACTGAAACACATAATTTGATTGAAATTAAAAACTACCATAATATTTGGTACAGGTTGAAATTGAATTTCGAAAATAGTTTGTGCACGTTCACCAAAGGCCATGTGACTTTTATCTGACTATTAATATAGGTACAACAAATACTTTATACATTTATAGAATTTCATACCTTATTTTGATATTCAGAAAATAATAATAGTTATCTAAAAAACGAATCATTTATAATTTATCGGCTGGATCACTCAAAGTGTTTACTTGACACGTTGGACGCCATATTTACTATAAATACAATAATTTGTGTACTACAGTAATAATTTAATAACTGTATAGTAATTATTAATAAATATAATATATACTATACTTTTGAGTAATAATGTTTTATTTCAGTGGCCAACAAAAAAAACCGCACTTTTATCTTTAAAATACCCGTAATTGTTATTATAGAAGTATTAGAAGAAATATCCGTAAGTACATTTTATAAATTGTTAATCTATAAGCTTCTTATTTTTCCATTTTGCTTATAACCTAGATATATACATTATATAATATATATTGTAATACTTGGGTTATTAGATAGCTACAGTTGAATATTCTATAATTATTAGTATTAGTATGTAATAATTGTTCCCATGTAATGCACAAATTATTTAAAGTGTAATTAAAATGTGCAGTCACTGTGGTTTACCAAGGATAAACGATAGCGTTTTAGTGTAATTAAAAGGTAGCAAGAAACCCTTATTTCCTCACCGGGCACATAGAAATTCAATTTCCCTTAGTTACTATGGTAACCAGTAAAATGTATAACCGTTTATCTTGTCTTCTACTGCACATAAACAAATCATCGTTACTTTTTGTAACCCACGTCCCACAGTACTTCAAGTATTAAATAAACATTTTTGGTACATCCGAATTTTTTACTAGAATGTCTCGCGTGTAAAAAATACCTGTCTTTACTCTTTACATGAATAATTTCTTTTTCAATATATAATATCAAACACGTGGGTGGAAAACAAATTATTTTTTTAAAAACTAAGCTCATCAGTCCTACAAATAGGTTTATTGAAAAGAACAAATTTTGGTTTATTATTAATTCCCAAATAACAAATATTTAGTATACTTATTACATTATATGTACCTACCTGAAATGCATCGTTGATGCTGTGCATCCGAAGTCTTTCTCTCTCGTTGCTCTCCAGTCTTCTGACGTTTTTGTCTTTGCCATTAGATTTACGCTTCCTTCGAGTACCTGATCTGCCCGTGCCGCCACTGCGACTTTGTCCGTCCGATCCGGTGCAAGTGTCGTCACTAATCTACCATACATTCAATTAGACAAAGTATTCTTAAGCACAGTTAATAGGATAGCAATGTATCGGTATTAGGATAAAAAAATTCACTAACAGACGAGGAGTCGGTAAGTTCGATTTCTCGTTGGCAAGATGTCCTCGACGATTTGCGGCATGCTAACCCAGCCATGGTTATCATTTTCTTTAGCTTTGCCTCCTCCGAGCAATTGGATGGATCTGACCGCATGTTTGCTTCAAACCTGATATTATAAATACATGTTGGTATAATAGGTGTATGGCATATTTATTTATTTTCAAGGATAAACTTTGAATTGTAGCTTATAATGTCTATAAAAATTGTTTTTTCTATAAATACTATTTAAAAAAATTCATTTACTACAGTCGTTACAACTGGCTTCGCCCAGTTAGTAATTTTTTTTATATCGGAGTCCCAATTTGTATATTTTTACATTTGTTTTTTTCTGTAGGCAGCCTAATGGGAGTATGAAATTATCCGACGATTTGCTTAACACGGAGATTGCATAGGGAAAATTAGATTCGCATAATTATGTATGTTAAAGGGATTCGAGTATATTTGTATACCTAAGATTTTCTATTATGTTATGACTTTCATTTCATAATAAAAATATGTAATGTGTATTTGTTAAGAGGAGAACGAGTGGCTGAGTGGGTAAAGCGTTAGTTTTTTTGGCTAAAAATTGCCTGGTAAAAAGAAGCAGACTTCCCTCTCTCCGGAAAAGGACTAGTAAAGCGTCAAGAAAGAAAAACCATCACACGATGGCAGCGATGGGCCTTCAAAGCCAGTTAAGCTACATGATATGATGATGTATTAGTATCAACTAAAAATATATATGTAGAAGAGGTTGTAGTATAGAATACATTTTTATAACAAGATATTTGGCTTGCACAAATTTTATAGAAAAATACACAAAAATATGTTGAAACACTGAAAATATAGTTTTCTAGGTTTTATACAGTTCAAAGTCAAACTGTATTTAAGAATTAAAAAACTACTGCAATAACTGCTATTTTTAATTTATTTTTTACTTTATGTAATAGATGTTAGTTTATGTGACAAATATTTTTTTATGAGTTAAGTTTACATGATTTATAGCTCTAACGCTATACAATTGTTCAAGTTCACTTTGGTCATTCAAGTATATCTTTTCTATAATAATCTCAGCTTTTAGACATTAATACAAAGTTATATTACACAGTTAGGACTGTTGTAAAACTTTCATCTTCTTATTTCTATTGTTATAGCGTAGTGTCTTATTTTGACAACTTCGGGGGAAAATAACACACGTGTACACAAAAGCAAAAATAATATTTTTCAGTGTCTGTACGTGTCGTTATAGTTGTAGTAACCATGACAATACGCCTCCTGCTAAAGTGAAATAAATTGTCGGAAGTACTATGTTGGGAAAATTACTTTTACCTGTACAACTTAATATAAAAATACACTGCGTAATAAATTTGAATTAATTAAAAATAATAATAACAATTTTAAATAATAATTTATTTCATTTATAATTTGAATAATAAATTAATTTTAAATAATTAATTATAGTATTAAATAATTATTGATTATTATATACGTTAGTAATTAAGCGTTTATCTATTAAAAAATAATTATAGGTATCCGTTTAATTTTTAATACACATTTATTTACTTAAATTTGTTGTATTGACTAAAGCTAATCATGATGATGCCTTATTGAATTATTATTTTTAACTACTGAACAACACATGGTCTCCTGGTACTTATAATTGTATAAGAGCCGTATTAAAAGCCCGTTTTGTCTAATTGTTTAACAAACCCAATGGTAAATCCAATAATTACTGAGCTTCAAACCGATTTAAACGTTTCATAACATGTTAATCAATATTTAAATATAAATTATCATCCAAATAATATTCCGTTTAAATTTATTTAGACTAATTATAATAAATGTATTAAAATATTTTTTTGTAAGTACGAGTTTTCATGTATTAAATGATATTAAATGATCTTTTAAGTAGAGATCTGAGACAATATTAGTTTTAAATAGGTACTTATAATAATAGATAATACAAAATTGTTTACAGTAAATAAAAAATTGTATAACTATCACAGAGAGAGGCCAAAAGGAGCTTACACGAAAGCTTAGTCTTAATATCACTTAACTATTCAGAATGGACCCATGGGTCTTTTACTACCGAAAATTTCATTCCTATAAATAGTAAATACTAGACTAAACCGCAATGCCATTAAATATTAAGACAACTATAAATTATAATACATGTAATAAATATATTTTTACATTTCAAAGTATATATTTATACTTTTAGTTGTATACAAATATAATGTAGATGTGTTTTATTAGTAATTCATTTAGACATAATTATTTTTTAATTCTATTATCGAAAAATGTATTTTTAGTAAAAGTACTTATCCCAAACCTGAGTTTTGGTTTTATTATAATTTCTTTTTTATTATTATTTTTTGTTATTATTTCCGTGTATAGTGCGAAGTTTTCTATTGGTATAATTGTAACTAATGGACTTCTAGCGTTTTTAGCGTTTTCTTGATTCTACGACTATCACTGAAATGACAACTTGATTGTCGAAATGCGAAATGTTTCAAAGTGAATATTATGATTAGTATGATTTTAAGTTTATTAAATTAAATTTATTTACATTAAGGAATTTATTCTAATTGTAAAATGTCACAAAAACATAATTATTGTAAAACCAATACATAATATCTGACAGCTAAAATGTTTAAAACCTAAAAAACGATTTTCGGATCAAATGTGATATATATATATATATATTTTTTTAACTGTTTGTTCATCTGTGTTTTTTTTACTTAATCCTCCATTTCGGTGGTACGTTTTTTCCAATTTTTTTTTTTTTTCGGTAGGGACGGTAGGGTGTTAGCGACTATTTTAATTTACGTATACTGACTGGTACAGAAACATCAATTAATCAAGCGTATGAAGTTGGATTTTTTTTTTGTTTTTTATCATCTGGTAGACCTCATGGTGGTTAAATTGATTGAAATATACAAAACGGGAAATTCGGTCGAAGGACGATCGGGAGACGTCAGTCTCCATGGCGATCGGGCTTTCGTTTTGTATATAAATTTATTTATTGTATTGATATGACGTACCAATACTACTGCTGTAAAATGTGGATATCTGTTGAAACAAATAAAAACAAGCACGGACTTCACACGAACTATCATCGGTGCGGAGAGTACGATGATATATTGTATATGGACAAAAAACAAATTTCCGGCTTGTGACTTCTCAGCATACCCTATATCTTTAAATCCTATGCAAACTTTTCGACCTATTTAACGGTGCCACGGCAGTGTCTATTTGTCAAAATGTCGAGCAGTTCCGCCTACGGTAACGAATTGCTACGTATAAAACCCATTTGTATTCGGTGTTTTTATTTTCTTGTATATTCCTATACATATATATATACACACCAAGAAAGGGATGATGATATGAATATTTTCATTTTAAAATAAAAATGTATGACACAAATAGTGACTTTCTTCTTAATGGTGTTCCGAAAGACTGACCCGAGTATTTTTTTTTTTTTTTAAATCAATATACGTATCAAGGAGACACGATGGCTTTTTTAAATAAACGAGTTCAATAAGTTAACAGTATAGGTAATGCATGTAATAATAAAATATTACCGTAATAAGACTTGTATTCTACCCATATTCGATACCCGTATCTAAAATATAATATATACATATATATTACATGAATATATCGCATAGGAAAATCGGAAAGTAAATATAGCTTGCGTATTATACATAGTGTAAACATAATATACCGTTTATTATTATTTATTAGGCAAACGAGTTTATTTTATAGGAATAAACATCATGTAGTAGCTTCAACGCAAAGCTGAGAAGGTTTTGGGGGTTACAATTGTGTGTTTTTTTTTGTGTCTGTAAACACGATAACTTTTTCCTTTGGACCGATTTACTCAAGTAGCATCACTATTTACTTTTGAAAGAGGACATTACATAAAAAAAATATATTTAATCCATTACCTTTTACGACTGCCACCTTAGTTTAATCACTAAAATACACAGTGACGTATTGACAATTTTCTTTTGGGGGTAATACTTAAGAAATTAAGCTTCGCCCCCCCTCCCATATTTGTATTGTAATTTATATTTAAACTTATTATCGAATTACAGAAGGTAGAAGTATAGGTTTGTCTATAATTTTACGTCCGCTTAACTGATTTATTTTAGTGTCAAAGCTAATTTTTATATAGAATACATTTGTATTTATTGTTAATTGTATATACACAATGAAATTAGAACAAATTTGATTTCAAATTGAATTGGTTGTTCTTTTTATCTGCATGTTCCTTTATGAGAACATAGTCGGAAACATTCGGTTTAACCATTCACTATTTGCTATGAATCAAAATAAAAAATTAACAAATTAACAATAAATTAATTATTTTTATAGTTTATTAAAGGATGTACATTTTCTCTGAACATAATTGCAGTTTTTTAGTTTTCCCGATGTTTAGCTTTTAGTTATTTTTCTCGGTTTTACCAAAGCAACTTAAGTGTTTTAGAACTTAAGTGTTATCATACTCATTTGATTGTATTTTTTTTATATAAAGATCTCTACTAAAAATTTTAATTTGTTAACTATTTTTGGAGATTTTAATGTTTAGGAGTATCGAATATTATTATAAACATTTTTAAAATGTATAAAAATGTTTTAAAAAACAACGGGGGGAAATATTCTAATCTACTCTCATAAACAAGCCACTGAATAAATATATAAGTATGTGCTCAAATATAATAATACTTTATGAAACTGGATATAGGTACATTATAATATCTTGTTTTTATTAGTTAATTGTATGTGTTGCAAGCAGTGCGCATATGTTATGGTACATGCTATATTGGATGCATTAACACTATACAACCTATTTAGCCTACTGTCCAAATATGAACCAAGTAATGAATTTACTCTATTTTGTCGTTGGATCGTGTTAGCTATGATACAAACATAACTTAACAGCTGTTCAAACGTGTATCCTAAATGAAAAACAATTCACGGGTTATTGAATAATAACTTTATTATAATAATTGTAATTAAAATCCACGTATTTTTTTCATTGCCTTCGATAATATTTGCAAATACTTTAATAAAAAAAAAATATAAGGCAACATATAAACTACTTAGCTTATATATAACAGATTA